ACCTAAACCTTTTGCAACCAAGAGGCAAATAGCCCAAGTCTTCCATGGTTTCAACTTTATCTATCCAGTCTTGATTTTGAGCTTCTTTATTTTGGGCCTCTGCCTCCAGGGGGTTCCACTGGACATTCAAAACGTGCTTTTTATAATTACTCAAGTTTTTAAAGGGGGCTCAAGACAAGATTTCTGATCTACCCCATCCTTTTGCTGTGGTCAGAGCCATCAGATCTTTTCCCTCAGTTACTGGTATTGTATTTTGGGGTTGGAGTAATCAATGGGTAATGTGAGTAAGTGTCACTCCTATAAGGGACATCTCTAGCTCACACATGAGCACAGCAAATCCCTTGCTGGATTCTCAGGCCTCTCAAATAAGAGGAGAAGCTCTGGACATGGCATCTCTCAGGCCTCTTCGGAAGCACTGCCACGAGAGCCCTGCACATCAGTCCCGGGACTCACAGTGCCCACCATTGTCACTAAGAACGGAAGTCCAGTGCTTTGTTCCCATTGCCCAAGTCGATGCAGCGTCTCCCTATGAACCTAAACTAATTATGGCAATAATGCACTAATTTTCAACAAAGCACTCCCCCTTTATAAAGAACTCAAGGAGGTTAAGAAAGCAGGCATTTTACACAGTCCGCTCGCCCGCCCACCTGAGTGGGGTTTCTTGGAATTTTCAGGACTCTGCGTGATGGAAGAAGCAGGAGTCCAAGACACACTGTCCATACTTGGAGACTAGGGAGAGCTGCCTTCCACACACACACAAGTAGCCGTGAGCTAGCGATGCCGTCAGCACCATGTGAGCTGTGCAGACAGAAAAGAGTGGTCTTGCTATGAGTTCAGGCTGGCTTTGAACTCACTGCATGGCTCAGGCTGTCTCCAACTCATGTTCCTCCTTCCTCACCGCACAGATGTTGGAATTACAGGTGTGCACCACTGAGCCTGGTGTAATAAATAATTTTTATGATAGACACTAAGGCAAATCAAAAGCCTCTACTGCTTATGGAGCACTTGCTGTGGATTTTAACAATGACTCCCCTTTTGACAGACAAAGTGAAAAGTAAGTCCCCATACGGAAAATGACATGAACATGCTAGCAGCACTGGTTACTACTGCCATGATTGGCAGTTACTACATGCCTTGTAGTGTACCCAGTAAATCACACACACACACAGACACACACAGACACACAGACACACACACACAGATACACACACACATACACAGACAGACACACATACACACAGACAGACACACATACACAGACAGACACACATACACAGACAGACAGACAGTCTCTCACACATACACACACAGACACACACACACAGACATACACACATACAGACAGACACACAAGACAGCCACACATACACAGACAGACAGACAGTCACACACACACACACAGAGACACACACGAGCACACACGCGTGTCACAGCTAGGATTGAAAGTGGACTCAAGGATAGAGGGTGGATCCATCTGGGGAAATGTGTAAGTAGGCAGCCTTCAGTGTGGGGCTTACTGTAGGAGACAGCACTTGACCCTCTGGCCCCCTGTGAGCTATCAAGGGTAGCTCTGCAGCCTGCTCTGCCAGGCTTGCCATGATCATCCGTTTCAAGTGGGTGCCACGCCGCCCACTACCGAGATGGCTTGAACTTGAAGTACTGTGACTGTCAAAGGAACAAACCTCAGTTGAGCTTGATTTCTCATGCTGTGAATTTTGGAATGATCTCAGTTCCAGGGCAGTGCAGTATGGCAAGGACAATGTCCAAGGCCTGAGGAGTACCCAACGGTCTCATTCGGTTACAAGGCATTGTGGGCCTTGGTAGCAGTCAGTGTGGCCAGGGCTGTGTAGCGCTTTGTGTTTAGAGTAGGCAGAGGCCTGAGCCTTGCTGCGCTTCACATGCCTTAAGTGCCTCATGCTTACTGGCTGATTTGACCACCGATGGGATAGAAGTCTTGAATGACTGGGAGGAAGGAGTCATGAGAACAAAAATAACTAGTGTAAAGTTTAAGTGCAAGAGCCAGGAGGAGTCTTTTCTGGTGGCCACAAGTTACATTTCTTATATAAATATATTGGCATAAAGAATGATTTCTGGGTACACTCCATTTGTCCTTTGTTTCCTTTCTCATCTGATTCTATGATTATTGATGTCATTAAGAGTGCATTCATCAGGCCTAGCTGTCAGAGAGTTGCACTTATTCTATACCCACAAGCAGTTTTGAGGTAAATCTCTCACTTTAGGGCATTAGTTGATCAATACAGACATGTATATTGAATAATTGCCTTCCCACCCCCTCCGTGCGATTCTGCTGTCTTGGTCTTCCTATAAAGAAGTCACTCAGGATGAGATGGGGACAAGAATTAGGTACTGTCCAAATCAACACTTGCTTCATACCCCCAGATGTGCCAATCTTATCAAATCCTTCTCCCTGCTGATTGTCTTCTAGAACCTTCATGCCAGGTCCAAACCGAATTGCTCTTCTTGTGCACCTTTTTGTGCATAGGGGACCCTGAGCTCCTCCTCTTCTGTGTCGGGTCCTCTGGGGCTTGGATCCTGTCCAGCTCCAGCTTTGGTTTGTTTTATCATTTAGGCTTTGCATATTGGAACTATCTGTATTGCCGATCCATAGCTTGATCAAGCTACAGGTTTGTTTTTGTTTTGTTTTGGTTTGGTTTTTTACTAGAAATTATTTTTTTTTCTTCAGAATTTTAAAGGCATTGGTCTCTTTTAATATCTCATGCTGCTGTGGATAAAGTTTGTTGTTGTTTTTAATTAGACATGGCCTTGCTCTGCTGGAGTCTTGCTGTTGTAGCCCAGGCTAATCTTGAACACTTGACCCTCCTCCTTCAGCTTCCCATGTTCTAGAATTATAGGTGTGCACTGCGTGTGTGCCTTGAGAAGTGATATGTTATGCATGTAACTTGTTTTTTGTCTCTGGAAACGTCTGTCATCCTTTCTTTGTCCGTTGTGTTCTGAAATTCACCATGAGGCAGTGTGGGAGTTGTGGGCAGAGAACTGCTAGTCCGTTTTCCAAATCATAGTGTCACTCCTGAGCTACTTACCCCTTCTCAGCCTTTGTCTCCTCATCTTCAACAGCGACAGCACCGCCTCATGGTGTTGTAAGTGAATTAGCATCTATAAAGAGCTTGACAGAGTCATTTATAAATGCTGTTTAAATGTTCGGTCTCACTAACATTTCAAACACAGAAAACCTTTTACTAGGAATTGGAACATTCCCTTGAGAAGGTCTGTTGGCCTTCTAGGCAAATATTCTCAGTGAAAAAGAATCTTTCCCTGGGCTTGAGAGATGGCCACTGCGCACTGGCTGCTTTCAATTCCCAGCAACCACATGGTGGCTCACAACCATCCACAATGAAATCTGGTGCCCTCTTCTGGCCTGCAGGTGTACATGCAGGCAGTGCAGTGTATACATAATAAATAAATCTTAAAAAAAAAAAAAAAGAACTGGTATGAAAACAGTATTAAATCACTATATGAAAGCTTATGTGAACAATGGTTCCCTCAAATTAGGGTCAGTAACAGATTCTAAAACTACTAATTGAGAGAGGATGGGTGGTCATGTGGTGTCAAGGCTTGTACACAGAATGCTTATTACTTATTAGAGGATGTGTCCTTTATAATGGAGAGTTCAGTCATCATCAGATGATCTCCAATTGACATCATGTCACTGATGGTGAGACATACATACATACATACATACATACATACATACATACATACCCTGACGAGCTGTAATACGAAACATACCCTCCATAATGAGCACCTTGGCCCTAAGCAAGCTTTTAGTCCCAGCTTCCATCTGGAGCTGGGTGACAGAAGGACTTGTCACACAGCACCACAAGAAAAACACCTGATGAATTTAGGATGAGAGGCATTTTATAGCGAGCCCCTGGCCTTTTCTCTGGGACAGAGAGGCTGGATTTGAGCAACAGATTTAGGAGACAATGACTGTATACAATACATGTTCATCGGATATGGTTGGGAAATCCTGGAGAGAGATTTTTGGCACGATGGAGTGGAGTTTAGAGATTGGGTCAGTGGTGCAAGTTGTCTAAAAGCTTAGTAAGCCTATATAGTAAGCTACATGAGGCGGATGTGGCCAAGTGTTTTATGCTATTGAGTCAAGATGGTAGGAGTATAGATGGATTGCATTCTTTTATTCTACTTTTCTGTTGACTCAGATTTTTCACATGAAGAGGTTTGGGGAAACTACCTAGCACTGTGAAATTGTATAAACCTGGCCTGATGGGGGATGAGTGTTTCATTGAGGTACATTGGCACTGGGCACCTAGGAAGGAGGGTGTTGGTGCTGAGTTCACCAGAGCAGTGGAATGGGGTGGTTATTCATAGAAAAAGTTCCTATACTTCCAGAATGCTCAAGTGATGCTATAGAATAGTTGGCTCGCTGGCAAGATCAGGTCCAGCAACCCATATTAAAGTCTCAATGGGACACCATCTGCTCAGTTGTTGTGAGTCATCCTCTGCCCATTGTCACTAACGTGCGTCTCACATGACAAGTCTTGAAGGTGCCTGGTCTTCTTTCACTCCCTTCTTTCCTTTTCACCCATTTTCATATCTTTACAATTTTTTCTTTCTCTCTTTAAACAACATGAAGCAACTGCCCTAACTACTCAGTTATAGTGACAATCAAGATTGTTACAGAATTGCTTCTTGTAAAGCCAAATTGCATTTAGAATCTAGTTCCTGGGGCCAGTGAGATGGCTCTGTGAGTAAAGTCAGCTGCCTCCAAGACCGATGACCTGAGTGTGACCTGGGACCCACAAGGTGGAATGAGAGGACCAACTTCCATAATCTGTCCTCTGACCTCCACGTGTGCCGTGTGTGCAATGCACACACACGCGCGCGCGCACGCGCGCGCACACACACACACTAAAGAGATAGATGTAAGAAATCTACCTGTCTGTCCTTCTGAAGCACCGGTGGCTGCTCCATCCATTTCCTGTCTTCTTGTGACTCAGGGAGCTGGACTGTGCCATGTTACGGCGTCTGGAGAAGAGGATTCTGGTTGATCTCCCCAGCCAAGAGGCCCGGCAGGCCATGATCCACCACTGGCTGCCCCCTGTGAGCAAGAACCATGCCCTGGAGCTGCATACGGAGCTGGAGTACAGAGTGCTGAGCGAGGTGGGCAGCCTAGCAGGGCGGTGGACCCCTCCCCATGAAAGTGTGGGCTCCAAAGGGAGACGGGGCTACAGTGAAGCAGAACGTGGGAGCTGCAGGAGGTAGCATGGGGTTCAGGGTTAGACAGCCCACAGTCAGACCCTGGCCCTGCAGCATAACAGCTGTGAGACCCTAGGGACCTCACCCGCTCCACAGAAGGTTATTGCGATGAATGAATTGACTGAATCCTCTGCAAAGAAAAGCTCAAGGTATGTATCTTGTTACTCCTCCTTGGCTATTGTACTGATCAGGGTCCTCAGGAGGAACAGAACTTAGAGAATGAATGTCTGCATATTCAGTACATACATGTATGTATGTATGTACATATGAAGGGAATTATTAGAATGGCTTTCATGCTGCGGTCCGGCTACTTCAACAATGGCTGTCTACCAAAGTAAGGCCCAAGACTTCAGTCCACAAAGCTGATGTCTCCGTTGGTCTTCAGGATAGCCCAGAGTTCCAAAGAGGCCGTCAAATGGCTCTCTGGTGCCAGTAAAGGGATGGAGTTGCCAGCAAGAGTGAGGACAAACCAACAGAGGGAGCTTCCTTCTTCCATGTGGTTGATAGGCCGCCAGCAGAAGGTGTGGCCCAGATGGAAGGTGGATCTTTCCACCTCGAACGATCTGAATGAAAAGCGGTTCTTGGCACGTCAAAAATTCCCTCACAGATATACCCAGCTGCTTGGGTTTTAGTTAATTCCAGATGTAGTCGAGGTTCTAGCCAAGAACAGCTATCACAGGCATCCAATCCCAGGATTTCTCCTTTGGGTAGATATTTAAACCTAATGCTTCCTGAAGTCCCTCAAATGCAATAGTGGCTTTATTTAACACATGAAGAAGACATGCACTCTAGCCATCGTGGACTTAGGATAAGGGCCCCCTAGGCCCAGTCCTCCAGGGCCATCTCACAAAGATTTTGAAGGAGTGAGGAAGCTATTGTCCCAATGGCCAATTAGCTGGGCTTCTTAGCACCTTCTCCTCCTCCAGCATTGCTTATCCAGGGATGCTGGCATAGTGAACAGGGATGACAAAATTCTAAGCCAGTGGTCTGATACTGGATCCTGCCGGCAAGAATGAAGAGGACACCAGCTGACTGTCCTGGCTTTGCTATTATTTCAGGAGACACAGGGCTACTCAGGCTCTGACATCAAGCTGGTGTGCAGGGAAGCAGCCATGCGGCCAGTGAGAAAGATCTTCAGTGTGCTTGAAAATCACCAGCCAGGTATGGTTGGGGTCCCGCGGCGGTGGTGGCTCGGGAGAGAAATTTCTCTTGGTGGGGTGCATGCTTGTACACCCAGCCACTTGGGACTGAAGGCAGGATCAAGTTTAAGGCCAACCTAGGTTACATAGTGGGTTCAAGGCTAGCCTGGGCAACTTTACAAGGCACTGTCTTAAAACACATATACTAAAACCAGCTCACTTTAGCAGCTTGCTTTGCGTGCAAAAGTCCCACCCGCTCTGACCAGCAGGTGGAGCCTGGCGCCTGGATTTCCAGGCTCTGTGGTTTTTACAATTGTTTGCTCTCTGGTCAAATCCTCATCCTGCGTGCACTCAGCTGCTTCCTCTGCTACAAGATTCCCGTTGTTGGGTTTTTACTTTTCTGACACACGCTGGTGTGGGGCTGGGTCCATATGAGGTACTACACAAGTAGCAAATAGTTCTTTGGTAACAAGATATTGACATCCATTTTGGAGGTGGGGGGGTGGAGATAGGTGGCGTCAGGGCTGAAAACTTCAGTGGCACTTTAGGAAGCCCCATCCCCCCCCCCCAGCCCTCCTCAGAGGCGCTTTTGAGCGGCTTTAGCCGCCAGGAACTGGATGTCAGGCACCACTCCAGACCTGCCCCACAGACCTGCCCCACAGACCTGCCCCACGAGCCTTTCAAGAACTCCTGTCACCGTGAGGTGCTGTGCTGAGTCCTGACTGTCGCCTTTTTGTCTAGAGAACAGCATTTTACCCGGGATCCAACTGGATACCGTGACTACGCAGGACTTTCTGGATGTGTTGGCTCACACCAAGCCTTCAGCAAAGAATCTGACTGAGAGATACTTGGCCTGGCAAGAGGAGTTTGAGTCTGTGTAAAGCTGCCCTCAGCCTGACCTGGCCAGAGGCAGCGGGAACCTCCAGTGTTCTCGGGTGGGAGGGAGGGCATTATCCTGGGATGCTGTGAATTTGGACAGCTGTGATATTTTGGAAGCATGAGATCTTGTGGCGTGGATGTCAGCAAAGCGAAGATTTTGGTTAGGGGGTGTGTGCTGTTGGGTCAGGCAATGGAGTTTTCCTCACAATTTACTATAAATTTTTGAAATTTCTTGTGGTATTTTGTTTGTGAACTGAGGTCTTGATTTTGAAGAAAAGCATTTTCTTGGTCTCTGTTCATAATTTCATTCTTGTAACACATTCTCAAGCCTGCCAGATACGGTCATATGCCCCTCCCTTGTGTAGTGCTGACTGGCCTTGAACTCACAGAGATCCATCTGCCTCTGCTTCCCGAGTGCGCCTTTCTAAACACGAACCTCCCATGGGACTGTTCTCCCAGTCCCTCTGCTCCAGGGGGAGGAGGGGAGGGGAGCGCCGTAGAACCCTGTGTGCACCCACCCTCTCTTTCCAGCCCTCTTGCTCTAGCTGACCACCATGACCACTGCCCCTGCCACTCACTTACTGTCCCCAAGCCCGTGACTTCTGTTTTCCCGGAGAATAAAGGGAAATCTCCATTGTCCTGCCCTAGCTTTCAGGGCTTCTGGATCTCAATTAGTTTGTTAGCTAGCTTCCAACCACTTGGCTTTGCAGCTCTGCCTCATAACCCTCTCCTGGTGCCTGGAAGATTCCAGTCTTTGAGGGTGTTCTGAAGGATAGACTGTGTGTGGGGGATTGTGTGTGGGGGGGTTGTTTGTGTATGGGGGGGTTGTTTGTGTGTGGGATTGTGTGTGGGGTTGTGTGTATGCTTGTGTTTTGTGTGTGTTGCTCAGTTTGGCTAGCACTCCATTTACTTTACATCATCCAGTGTTACATCTTCTCAACTGTGTTTTCTCACTGGCTGATCTTGTGGGTTTATAAATTCTCTGTTCTCTTCCTTTCTTTATTGGGGGGGGGGTGAGAAAGGAGACCAACTAATTGATGGATTTACTCTACAGTGTCTATGGCTATTTGGTCCTTACATTTCTGTGGGTGTTTGTCACGTTGTACAGATGCCATGGAGACCAGAGGAAAGTGTCAGCTTCCCTGTGTTACCTGTAGCTGGAGTCACAGGCAGTTGTGAGCTGCCCAACATTGAGTGCTGTGTACCATACTAGCGTCCTCTATAAGACGTCAGTGCTCTAACCACTGAACCACCTATCTCTTCAGCCCCCATTTATTAAAGCTGACAGGACAGTGCCATACGCGTGTTTGTAATGTATTCTAGTCTCTCTCGCCCTACTCTCCCTTCCCTTCCATTCCCATCACCTCCCTCCCTTTCCCTCCATAATGTGTTGTTTTATTACTCATTGAGTTTAATCAGGCCATGGCCATGGGTATGGAACTGGTGGGCTCATCTGTGGGCACACAATTAATATGACTCGCCCTCCCCCCAGCACTCACCAATAAACAATAGTTACCCAGGGAAGGGTAGAGACCCATGAGCCCCTCTGCAGTCCAGGACTGTTGATAGACCGTCTTTGTTTGTTTGTTCATTTTCAAGACACGGTTTCTCTGTGTAGCCCTGGCTGTCCTGGAACTCGCTCTGTAGACCAAGCTGGCCTCGAACTCACAGAGGTCGGCTGCCTCTGCCTCCCTTGCTGAGGTTAAAGGCGTGCACCACCACTGCCTCGCAATAGGCCTAGTCTTTTTGCAGCTCAGTACAGGCAACTGCAGCTGCTGTGAGTTCATGACTTTTATAGAACTATGTCATTCTTGGTAGAGAGTGTTTGGCAGCCCATCTTCCTACCATCTAGCTTTTACCTCCTCTGAGATGTTCTCTGATCCATTGAGGGGCCTATAGCTTTGTTTTTTTAGTAGGTTAAAAAGGATTAGGAAGATAGTTCATTTGGCTTGCCTTACAAAAATGAAGACATGAGTTTAATTCCTAACATTCACATAAACACGCCAGGCCCAGAGGAACATGCTTAAAACTCCAGTGTTGGGGAGGTAACAGAGACTCCAGTGTTGGGGAGGTAACAGAGACTCCAGTGTTGGGGAGGTAACAGAGACAGGGCACCCTGGCTCACTGGCCAGGTAGGCTAGCCTACCTGGTGAGCTCTAGGCCAATGAAATTCTGTCTCAAAGGAGGTAAATGGTATTTCTGAGGGTGACACTTGAAGTTGTCCTCTGGGCTCTAGAACACACATACCCATGCACACACATACATTTAAAAAGGATTATATACATACACATTACATACACACATATGAAGTTGTATGAGGTGTTGGCCTCACAGTTGGAATAAATAAAATTTAACTTAGTCCAATGTGGGTATTTTGTTATTTGTTATAAATCAGAGTTTACAACTTAAATGTCTAAGGAAGCAAGGAGATTGCTAGCACGTAAGTAAGGTGTGCTAGGTATAATACAATGCAGAGGTGGGGAGGGGGTGAACTTATAAGGGCCAGGGACTCTCTGACGGGCACAGTAGTGGCCCAGCCCAGGTCACCATGGAAATGTCGGCCATGGTCACCACGGAAACGTTGGCAGACTGTCAGTGACTGCCTTCATCACTTACCAGTTGTTCCCACTGTACTTGGCAGCTGTTGTGTTTGAGTCCGTTGGTTGTCCTCAGACATAAGCTCCATGGTTTGAGGTCCTTTTCTCATTCCTACTGATTTAATGAAGTGTTCTTTAAAACGGTGTAGGCCGACAGCTACCCGAGCCCCAGAAGTTATGGAAACTTCCCAACGCTCAGTCTCTGCACTCCATATAGGAAGTCTGCCATTGCTTCCTTTGTATTGCTAGGCTCATTTTTATAACCTCAGGGCCCTGACTAGAAGATATTGTGCCTGCTATCTTCCTTGTGCTTTAGCCACAGTAAACATTTAATAAACACACATTTCTCAGGCACATCAGTCACGGAAACGGTTCCAAAGCATATAACATGAAAGTAAACACTAGAAGATACTCAAAGTTGTTAGTGGCCTATGCAGTTTCCATGATGCTTGATCTGGTGCCTCACTGCGGCCTCTTAAAGACAGAAATGTGCTTCCAGCTAGTAGGCCCTGATGGCTGGCTCATGAATTTATGTGGAAAACATCTTTGTGATTTATGACAAATAAACATGATAATGTAAACGTGGTTCCACGCAAATGACTGTAATATGAAAAAGGGATTCATTCTGCCACTCAGGGAGGAGTGTTTTGGTCAAATAGATTAATGCAGTTTAGTGCAGGAGCCTAAGGACTTTAATTTCATGTTACTGGAACCACTGATCCAAACCTAACTGAACATAATAAATACAGGGGTGTTTCCACCTTCCCACCCTACAGGGTATTGGAGTGTTAACGTGTGGGATTAAGGGTGGAGTGGCAGGCTACCATTCCAGGTAGTATAGTATCTGACGTCACACCTGGAAACATTTGTGGAGCCATCACAATGGAGTGGCCTCTGTTCCGTGTCTTGTCATTACGGTAGGCTCTGATAGATGTGGTGTGGTAGACAAGCAGAGCTACACCCAACCAACAAACAGCTGTGTGGTGTCAGAGGAGTGATGGAAACCTGGTCACTGCGGGATTGGCTCACATTCCACCAGTGTTGCACGCTCATGATACCCATCGTTTCCTGCCATGCCCTTCCTACTCTCATAGTATCTCTTAGTCTATTTTCTGGATAATAGTGGAACCAGTGTGGTTTCAGTCTTTTGTATCAATACAACACTAGCCTTTGATTGTGACATGGCCTATGTGGTGGCCCATGCTGTCCCAGCAGAATACAGAATCGCTCTGGGCTGCCGATGGAGTTACAGTCTCCTGATTTTGAGGAGGTGATAACTGTGCTCTGGGTGGCACCATTTCCTGGTTGAGGTCCTGGACCGTATAGTGGGTTATGGCCCCTGAGTAGTATGGTGCATTCTTCTGAGCGGGGAATGTGCTTGTGGTCAGCTGCTTCAAGCCCCTGCTGCCTTGGATTCCCCACCACGCATGGGGCTGCTGCCTTGGATTCCCCACCACGCATGGGGCTGTGAACTGTAGGCTAAAACCTCCCTCCCTCCCTCAAGTTTCTCTCATTTTGTCAGGGCAATAGGAAAACTAGGACAGCTGTTTCCTGGAGTACTTCTAGCAAGTGTAAAGCAAGCATGTAAGCTGTCCTCCTGGACCTCTGGAAAGGCCCGTTAACAAGCCATGATGGGTGTTAAATGTTAACTGAAATTCCCATGGTCCTGGGGGCCCTGGAAGCTGTTTCTCTAGGCTGGGTGCCTGGCTGCGGTCTCCTATCCTGTGACCATGATACACCTGCTCTATCACGAGCTGCCTTTGCTCTCCAGAGCATCCACTCCACTGTTTGCTTCCTCTCCATCCACAACACTGCTCCTAGCATGAAATTCCTGTGGCATTTAGCTCGTTTCTACTGGTTAATTTGCCTGCGTGGTGGCAGACATAAAAAGAATGAGCCACTCTTGTGCAGTGAAAGGATGTGGGATCGCTTGAGAGCGCTGTTGCAGGTACCACCTGGGCAGGATGCTGTGACACCTCATTGCATCTTGCAGGTGTGGAACTTGTCAGTGCATGGAGTCCCACCTTCCTAGTGATCTTCAGCATCTCCGTAGGTTCTCAAGTAGAAACCCCTTAGGGTGAAAGCCCTTTCTTCTACACTTGACATTTCCCACAATAACCGGGGCCAGCACAGTGGTTTGTGCACACCAGCTACAAAATATCTGAGAATTCCTGAACAGGGAACAATTGCTCTTGGCATGCAACTCAGACTACAGATGGCAGGGAAGGTGGCCCCTTCCCCAGGGCCAGGGCAGCACAGTTTCCCTGCTGGCTGAGCTTCCATCCACATGCAGCTCTTCCCCAGGTCTATGCAGCACAGCATTTGACCCTCAGGCCCAGTCTCGTCAAGACAGCCCTTCTGAGTGTTCTGCGCTAAGTACTGAGTATGGGTTCCCATGCTGGTGCTCGCGGCAGAGCTGTGCAGTGAGGAATGAGGGGAGGGGTGACTTGGTCCTGCTCAGAGTTCAAGGGCTCGAGCTCCAGGCACCAGGAGCTGTACCCCAGCCACGTCTCACGTCTTCCCGACTGGGCGTGGCGATCACACTGTCACCTGCACTTGACGGTGTGTGAGCACTAAGCTGGGGCATTTGCAAAGCCAGGAAAGCAGCACCCACTGAAGGACATTTATTTAGCTTTGTTCCCTTCCCTCCCAGACGGAGCTGATCTCTAAACAAGCATCAAAGCCTGGAGCTCATTAACATTAGTGTGCGCCTCCATAAGGTGAGTACTGCAATGATGCACAATTACATTCTAATAATTCAGTGCCCAAGAGCCCTGTAAAGCGATTGCCACGGCCTCGGATTAGCTCAGCATGCAAATGCACCAGGAAAATCATTACCTACTTAGTCTCCTTCATTTGGGTGGGTTTAACATGAGAAGAATAATCCAGGCGCCGGGACAAGATCTCATTTTACAACTGTAGTGAGAAGTACATAAAAGCTTGAATCTGTCCCAATAGTTCCGAAAAGATTTCTCCCTTAGTGTCAGAGGCAAAAATAATGAAATCTTGCAAATGTACAGTTAATAGGTCCCCAGTGGACACTAACTTCAAAAATGCACGGTCTATAAGACATTAAAGGCTTGATTTTAGTTTCTGCACTGTTCCTGTTAATAACAATGTCTAATTAAAACATCTGTAAAATACTGATAGTTTTAATTTTACATAAAATTTCCAAAACAACTGTTACACAGTATAATAGGTATCTGCAATGAATAGGTTATTAATGGAAATATTATTTTAAATTAAATTCGGGTTCTAAATTTAAATTAGTCATCTCTGGCTAATGAAGAGAAAAGGAAGTCATCTGTGCTGGGAATACGGTGGAAGTTTGGCTTTCCACATCTGTTATAGCAGCTTCGCTGGATCTCAACAGAAGGGCTTGCTGTGCTGCTTCTGTCTTGCACCCTACTTGGCTCTGGTGCTGGGTTTCACAGTTGACTCTGCAACTGGACGACAGCCGGATGCGCCTTGCAGTGCACCCCTGCAGGAGGTGGCTGTCCTCTCCCTCCTGGCGAAGATGGGTGAGGACCGAGGCTGCTGCACTCCTGCAGGAGCCCCTCCTCCCAGCCCAGTGAACCGGATGAATATTTTAACAGGAATGGCACAGAAATCTCTGCTCTCCCTTTCTTCAGGTCTCATCTTCTTTTACAAAACAAAAGAGATTAGCCAGCTTAGGGCTGGCTGCAATTCAATGCCCCTCTTTCTAATTAATGCACAATAGAAGAAGGTTCATTGGGATTGGCACTGGATGGGGCTGTCTGCTGAGGGATCCATCCATCCCGTCTAGACAATGGAAGCTGTGGATCAAGTTGCCTCACGCCACACATGGGTTCACAGGAGATGCTGCAGAATGTGGTCCACAGCATGAGGGAAGCTCTCGCAAGTTAAGTATGGAGGTGGATTAATTTTTTCTTCATCTGCAGTTCGGTATTTCCCTGAAATGAAGGCAAATCCGGTGAACAAAAGTTAGAGCTAGAATGCCAAGTTCAACACACCCGGAGCACCCTGCAATTACCAGGGAATCAAGGGGCCCACATCCCCTAAAGCACCTTCCCCCGAGGCTTTAGGAGGCAAGGGGCAATTCAAAGAACTGTCACATTGATTACTTTCCCAGGTCCTCTGATCTCTCTCAATGGAGAGTTCTAGCTGCTGGGGCCCCTCACAGTTAAGGTTTCCTTCAAATCACAGAATCATTTTCTCCCTAACCTTCAGTCCTAAAGATGGGCTGGTGATTTAAATGCTTTTTAAAATAGCAGACTAGATATGAATCAGATGCCAAATGCAGGCCTGCTGCCTAACTTGTGACTCTGGAATTCATGGGCCTGGCACAACACATTAGTTTCACATATGTAAGGGAGGCAGCAGGGTCGCCGCAGTCATCTCTCCAACTCAGCCCACCTGATGGCTTTCCAAATCTCCTCTCCCTCCTAGCAACCAGTTGTCTCTGCAATGTTTGTAATTTGTAGCTACCCACGTGTTTGGTGACTCACCGCTACGGAGACTGTAGTCTTTCTGGGAGCAGGGATTATGTCTGCTCTGCACCCTAACGGCTCCCTAGCACCTAACCTCATGATGGCCACAGGGCAAGCATTCCCTAAAGGTGTCTTTAAAAAATGGACAGGAGAGAAGAGAGGGAGGGAGGAGGGGTGAGGAGACACTTGCCTAAGGCCTGCAGGCTATCATGCATGTTACTTCCTTTTCCTGTCTCCTTTTCTATGCCCTCTATTTATTCTGTAGCTTTATCGCGGTTTCTCTGCCTGAATTTAGCTTCTCTCACAAAACAGACCCCTTGAGTGCTGCAGCTCCCTCTTTCAAAAGGTGGTTCTTGTTCTGTCCTACCGGGGTTCTTCACTATCACCTTCACTGGTGGTCTAAAGGTGATTTAACACATACCTCACTGGCCCACCCGCGCCCGCACTTCTCAAAGTGCTCGCTGCACACACAAACTCTACTGCTTAACTCTTAAGCTAAATCCTGCTAAGAGCAGACTTCCGGGCAGTTTCTGCTTGGCATGTGTCTGACTGACTACTGCTCTACCACCTACTTTCCAGATCCAGTGGTCTACCGGACAGATAAGAGTCTAAGCCATGGGATTCTGGAATGCTTCTGCTAGACTAGTTAGTAAGTGGGTTCCTACAAGACTCAAATGTCCCCACCATGGTGTCTGGCACAAAGCAGGTGCTCAACCACGTGGCTGAATGAATGAAGCAGGGTGCACATCTGCCCAGTTCACGGCAGCAGCCAGTGCCTTCCTGGGTCAATAAAGGGATGAAAGAGACAGTAAAGAAGCTGTGTGGATGCTGTAAGGTAGAGGCACGGTGTTCTCTAGATCACCATGTCACATGCTAAGCAGAAATAGATTCCAGTTAGGACAAACCAGAAGTCTTTAACCAACAGCTGAACATACAAAACTGACCACTGACCATGTGCTTCTACTAAGAAGCAAAATCGCCCAAGACAGTCCATGAGAAGTACTCTTCCTGAATACGGATTTAGATGCTCAGAGTAATCTTAGATCCCTGGACAGCTCATGCTTGTCCATTGTACTGAGCTGGAAGTCACCAGCTCCGGCTGCTTTCGTGGTTTAGAACCATGGGCTTCCTGTAAGTTTTTCTAAGATCAAAGCACAAACGGCCCGCTCTCTCCAAGGCCAGTTGCTTTCCTGAGTACGTGTTTCAGATGTTGGCTTCTTCAGGACTAAAGATGCAGCTGAGACAGACTGCTGAGAATCAGCAACTATACAGGAAGAAAGCAGAGCAGGTGAAGGTCAGCCTGGGCAGATGGCCCATTCACAGCACTGCACAGACCCAGTGGCTGGTATAAAAATTCTTAGTTCCACGAGCTTAAAAAAGGAAACATTCATGAACTAGTAGCCAAAAGCAAAAATAGTCATCCTAGGGTCGGTTCCTTCAATGGTAGAAAAGTAAAAGGAAACAAAGGGGGGATGGATGGTGCCATTTTTCTCGGCTTCTCCCGTTTCCTTGTTGCTGACATCATAGGGTTGTAATGCTCCTGGGTAGGAGATGATGGAGAAATTTGAAGAGATGTTGGGCTAATTCTGAAGTGATGGCATTTGCTGTTTGCAAGGCCCCGAATGTTCCACACATGTGCTCAAACATTTTCTCACTTCACACAGCGCCTTGAACCGCCTGACATCTTCCAACCATCTACATTTTTGTTTTTGTTGCTAATCTCAAAACAGCTCTTGAGAGATCTCACTTTCATGGTCACTGTAATTAATAACTCTTCTGTGACTTCATGTTTCCATCCTTTCTTGATCATCTCACATAGCTAGTCAGCACAGAACTGAGCCCAAGACACAGGACAATTAACCCCTCTATTGCTGTTAAAAGACTGAATTAGCTGAACCTGCCAAAGGCATTTCCTGTTTTCTAAACTTGAGAGACTGTATGAAGAAAACTAACTTTAGTGGAAATAATTTGTAAACTCTTCTTTTTCTATAGTGCTAAAGTTCAAACTCAGGGCCTTATGCAGGCAAGCTGTATTCCCAGGCCTCTAAACTTTTGAACACCAAAACAGAACAGGTTAAGAGACAAGAAAAATGTTTTCTGCATATAGTTTAAAAAATGCGCAATGAACAGGTAGGATAAAAGCATCCAGCAGGCTGGTTCCTAGAGATCTCCGTCCTCACTGTCCAGTCATACAATATAGGAGTTACTTTCAAAGCACAGTGACCCCGGCCTTCTGCTTCCTCTGATGAGAATCACATTTCTAGGAACTTCTACACAACTGTGTGTGCTTCTCTGTGTAACTATTCCAATGCCTCTAGCCTGCTCTGGCTTGCGGCCTTTTTTCTGGAGTCTGAAACTCATTCCCTTTTAGCTTCGAGGTAGAAGGACAGCTAAAGCACAGAAGAGCTCTGCCACCTGCCGAGGCTGTCCTAGCAACGGTCACCTCTGACACCCTGGTTTCAGGGAGACCGGGTTCCCTGACTGGCCTGGAACTTTCTACCTAGGCCAGACTGGCCCCAAACTCACGGCAATCCTTCACTCTCAGCCTCCCAAGTGTTGGGGTTAAAGGTGTGCCACCAGGCCCCACTCCATCCTTATCTCTAAAATGCCATATGTAGGAGATACATACCAGTTTTGACTAAGATGCCCAGCATGCCAGTGTTCTGAGCCCCACCAACATCATCCCTGCAATCCTGGAAAAACATAAAGACATTTAGTCCAGTCTTCACTCAGCTTGCCAGCAACCTCCACCAATGACTGTTTGGGCTGCACTGGCCACCTAAAATTCCCCAAGTCTTAGTTAGGGTTTCTGTTGCTGTGAAGAGACACCATGACCATGGCAACTCTTAGGAAGAAAAACATTTAATTGGGGTTGGCTTGCAGTTTCTGTGGTTTAGTCCATTATCTTCATGGCACTGCGTAGGCAGACGTGGTGCTGGAGAAGGAGCTGAGAGTTCTACATCTTGTTTTGCAGGCAGCAGAAGCAACTGTCCCACTGGGGGTGGCTTGAGCATATGAGACTCAAAGCCCGCCTCCACAGTGACACACTTCCTTCAACAAGGCCACACCCACTCCAACAAGGCCACACCTCCTAACAGTACCAAATGGCACCTTCTAATAGTGCCACTCCTCACAATGGTCAAACATTCAAACACATGAGTCTATTGGGGGGGGGGCATACCTGTTCAAGCCACCAAACCCTGCTTTTCTCTTCTTTCTTAAAATGCAATAAAAGGACATGTGCATAAAGGGTTAGGGAGCTGTGTGTGAACACTCCTGGGAAGGCAGCCATGCTGGAGAACGCCACCAGGGCAGAAGGTGTACACTAGGGGTGCCAGTAACTGAACACAGAACACACACAGGGACACGTCTCCATGCTTTTTACACGTGTGCCTGTGCTCTTAAGGGAGATCTTGAGAAACAACATCCTTGAGAGGTGAATTAATTACCAAGCTTCAGACAGTCAATGAACCAGAATCACAAAATAACTTTTCTATGGCCAAATGCCTTTAAGTCCATCTGACCAGTAGGACCAAGTGGAGAAGTATGTGTGAGCAGACTGTCTGCGTTCACGTCACACTTGGCAATCAGAACCACCTGGAGGGAGCTCTGAGAACCGATTCTTACTCAAGACAGAGATGAATGAATACCCCTGGTGCAGCTGGGTGTGGTAGCACATACCCATGGGCCCCAGCACTCAGGAAACTGAGGCAGAAAAATTGATTGAGCACGTAAGTTTGAGGCTCACTGGACAGGACAGGACATTTTTAATCTTTAAAATTCCCCCAAACTAGAAACCTAGACAACATATACTTGGTTGATTTGACAATGGACATGGAGTAACTAAAAATTCAAAGCCTAGGAGGAGCATCAAGACAACCAACCTTGCCAATTCATATTTGGAAGCACACTCACTTAGGTCATGCCTGAAGACAACTCCTGTCTAAAAAATGATTGCTATTATTCAACCACGGTTCATGGAAACCATCTTCCTTTTAAGTCTACAAAGATGTTTGCATTAACACGGCTAAATTTTCGCTGTTGAAGAAATGAGGATGGGTAGAGGGAGGAGGGGCTGCCTCCCTCCTGGATAATGGCAACCACATGCAGCTGAGCACACCGCTGCATGCTTCCTCTCCCGTCCTCAACTCTAGTGGATGACCTGGGAAGTAGGAGGTGACACCAGGAGGACTGTGACACTTTCGCCACCAGGAACTAAGAAGCTGGGAGGGAGTCCAAGCCTTGAGGTCACACCCGGCTGTGCGGCAGGAGACCCACCTCTCTAGGCTTCAGTTCCCTACTGGTAAAATAAGGGTTAGATCAGACAGTCTTAGTGGTTGCTTCCAGCCTGGCACGCTGTCATTTAGATCTAAATTAATCCACTCACATCAACTTGGCACACACAGTACACATGGTAAATAATACCGGCTCAGCTCGTGAGGACAACAGCCAGATGCACATCACCACAGGTGACCAACTTCCACTCATTCCAGGCTCTACCTAGCTACTCAAAGAGCTAAGGTGGTCAGCATCCCTCGTTAAGGGATACAACAATTGGGTAATTCCATAAGTTTATGCTAAAAAGACAGTTCTTTTGGTATAGGATTTCTGTACAAGCTACATTAAAAAAATTTCTGAGCTCTTAATTGGGATTTTCTTTAGCAGGATACATAAAGCATTTAGCTGACTGGAGTATAAGTGGCTTTTCATATACATATACATATATGTGTATGTGTGTATATATATGTATGTATATATATATATGTGTGTGTATGTATAAATATATACACAAACATATATATATTCAGTTGCTATGGAGACATGTTAGACACAACACTATTTTTACAAGAATACCATGAACATCTACAGGACAGCTGCCACAAGAGGCAGGGATTTGAAGCTGTATCTGCTAACATGACAGACAACTCAGGACATCTCTATGGCTCTTCCACTTACATCTCCTATCATGACGGCCTCCTCTGGTGCACAGCCAGTGTCCCTCAATGCTTCCAGAAAGAACGTCTTCTCTGGTTTCCCCACGACTATGGCTTTCGAGTCTGTGGCATACTCTAAGGCGGTCACAAATGGTCCTGGTCCCAGGGCTAAGCCATCTTTTCTCTTGTAATACCTGGCCTTGTGGATAGCTATCAGAGGGGCTCCATCCAGGAGTAACCTAGAGAGATGGAGAAAATAGAGACAGGCTAAAAGCAAGTCGTTCACGAGTGGGAAAAAATGTCAGGCTTACAAAGTGGTTTTATTCACAATCACAAAAACAAATAGTTCCTTATTAACTTGTAATGACTTGCTGTCTTCTAATGACTTCACCAAGAACTGCTGGCAATCACACACACAGATACACTAAAGAAAGGCGATAGATTATTAAATTTGGGATTGCGTCAACCTCTTACCTTTAGTGATTTTACACACTTTAGCAAATCACCAGGGAAAGAGAATTAAGAGAACTAATGCTAAATAAGGCACTGGAGGGAAGAAGCTTAACTTAATGAGACGAGTTGTTTCCCTTCCCTAATGGGAAGCAGGAGGTTGGAGAGCCTCTGAAGACAACACAGGGTTGTTGCTGCCGTGATGGAGGAGCACGTGCATCGAGTGCTTGCAATTCTGTCTTCTCTACTTCAAAATGTAAGTCTCTTTTTACTTCAGAAGTGTAGTAGAGAATTTTCTAGTTTCTCCTTGTAATTCCATCCCTTCTCTGACTGCTCTCCACACCACACATCAGGCCATCCTCTCAGAGTACCACTAACAAGGTCTATAGGGCAGCTTACCACCACCGTCTACACAGGACAGGCCTACCACCACCGTCTACACAGGACAAAGTGCATCCAGCCTTCCAGCAGTGGGAGAAACAAGCTCTACGTGTAGGGTCTCTCACAAACTTAACCCTATCCCAGCAGAGTAGCTGTAGTCAAACAGAGGTAGCCACGTTTGGATTGCTGTCTAGTGGAATTGGAGATACGACCTTATTACTCTCTGATTTTAACCGTGAAATAAATGACCTCACTAGCTTAATTTACTTTAAGTCATCTACTTAGTTAAAATATTTAGTATGTCCATGGAGGAAGAATTCATCACATCTTATCCCTCACAATTATGAGTAATTAAGCGCTCGGCTATGAAACTGCTAAATTATTCTTGTCAGTGGGCACAGAAATAACTTCCTGTGGGAGATGCAGAATTCAGACATTTATGATTAAATATTTTATTAAGTAAAAACCAATGCTGGACTATTACAGGTTTACTGTTAGTTACTACAAATTGCTCACAGCACAGGACAGAGTGCAAAGCCCTCTGCTTGTCTTAAAGAACCACAGTGTTATACTCAATGCCTCAGGCACAGCCCAGGGACTCACCTAGCCCTGCCTCCCAACCACATGTATTTGCTCCTGCACCATGGAACTGAAACTCTTCATGCAATAGACCTCAAGATCGCTTTCCACTTACACAGCAAAACTAAACTCATTTGGCTTAGCTTGATTAATATTTTATTATATATTAACCAGGGTTGAGAATTACCATCTTGACTGATGTGTATACTTAATTTTGAGTGTCTTCCTTGGGAGGGCTGATCCTGTGGGCTCCTCTCCATTCTCTAAGCTGGCTCTGTAGCGGCTGGGAAGGGGGCTCTAGACCTACTGTTCTCTGCTCTGCCTCACTGGGTCTTGGAAGGGTTGAAGAACATTTAAGTAAATGTTTCCTAGGCACAGATTTAAAGGTCTTTTGTGTTTAAATATGAAAATAGAGCCAGGCATGGTAGCACACACCTGTATTCTCAGAATTCCCTCTCTGGAGTCTGGGGCTGGACAATCTCAAGTTTAAGGCCAGCCTGGACACACAGTGAAATGCTGTGTCAAGAAAAATAACAAGTGTATTTAAAAGCAACCTCTATATCTACTAAGCAGGGAACAACGGGTGGCTGGTGGCTTTCTATTTCTGTTACTAGAAATAACATGTTAGCAGGAAATGTAAAATTGTCTAGCTATACGCCTATGGTGGAATAAGAAACTTAGGGTGGTGGTGCATGCCTTTAATCCCAGCATTCAGGAGGCAGAAGCAGGTGGATCTCTGTGGGTCTGAGGCCAGCATGGTCTACAGAGCAGATTCCAGGACAGGCTCCAAAGCTACAAAGAAACCCTGTCTTGAAAAACCAGAAAAAAAAGAATAGAAAAGAAATTCAAGCTGCCCGAAGGCAAACAGATGGGGGCTATGGCTCAAAGCGGCAGAGTATGTCAGAGGGATCTTCTCACACTTCAAGTCCCATGCGCCTTGTTTCAGAGAACCAGAACCAGAGTCAGAGCGGAGAACACTCTGAGCCACACCACACCATCTTTTCAAGTGACTTCCTTCTGAGGCCAGGGTCAGTCTGTCAGCACTGCAGTGACGATGGGCTGCAGTCTGAGACTGCTGGGCGCCTCCACACAGCTAACAAGATAGCCAGGGACAGTAGAAAGTGTGGAAAGTTCACGTCACATGCTACATTACACAATGCGAGAAGGGGCAGAGCCCACGTGGGCAAATCTCAGAACAACAACAGTGACCTGTGCGTACTTCATTCACGTGGAGACCATGGACTGGCCTTAGTGACAGCAGGGGCTTCCTGGGAGGAGCTGTGCTGCCAGCATCGGGGGAGCGAGCACACTTCAGGGCACACTGGTGTCTTTGACTTCTTATTGTTTGAACTTGTGGGAGTAGGTTCTCTCCTTCCGCTATGTGGGTTCCAGAGAAGGTCCTCAGGGCACTGGGTAGCAAGCACCTTTATACCCTCAGCCATCTCGCTGACCCTTTGGGGGCTATGATTAGGACTATATAGCAGACAACCATTTCAAAAATAGAAAAGTTCCACAAAAATTTTCTAATTGACCTTGGTACCACACTACTCTGAAATTAGCCCTATCCAGGGTTCCAATACGGAGATTCCAGAGTGGCATGCAAACAATACTCACAGAGGTCATAACTGTTCATCCTCCCCCATCCCCTTTGTTGTCTTCTTCTGAGTCATAATTACATGGACTGGAACACTTAACCCTAACTTTGGATGCTATTAAAGAAGACACAGTCCCAAATTCCCAAACACTCTTCTATCCAACAATGTGAGAGTCCCCTCTCCACCTTGTTGGGAGGAAGGAAGGGTTTGGTGGGAGAGAGAGGAAGATGAGGAAGTGGAATGAGAGGTAAAAATGACCAAATTTATTTATATAAATAAGTTTATTTATTTATTATATAAATATAAATATTTATATAAATAAATTATATAAATATATGGAACTATTAAAAATAATTATAATTATCTGTGTGTGTGAATGTTTGGCCTATGTGCCTGTGAGGGGCTCGTGCATTTGGATTGTCCTCTGGAAGGTTCTTAATGGCTGAACCATCTCCCCAGTCCACCCCAACTGTTTAATTAAAAAAAGAAAAGAAATCCACCCCCCCCAATTCAAAAGATAGCAAAATCTGCACAGCTCTGACCCTGGGAGAGGCTCAAACAGGAGAGTCATCAGCAGAGCTGCCTCTCAGAAAGGAGTCCCTTATGTGCCTGAATGTGGAGTTGTGATGCCCTGTGTGTTTGTGTACTGTGACGTTCTAGTATACGTAAGTATGAGCACAGAGAACAATAAACTAGCTATGTCTAAAACACTGAATCACTATTATGAACCTCTTTTTTTTTTTTTTTTTTTTTTTTTGAGACAGGGTTTCCTCTGTGTGCCAGACCTGACTGTCCAGGATTTTGTTCTATAGACAAGGCTGGCCTTGAACTCACAAAGATCCACCTGCCTCTGCCTCCCAAGTGCTGGGACTAAAGGTGTGTACCACTACCACCCAGAATGATTCTTTTAAGGTGGCAAAAGCAGGTAACTTTCAGTTTACTTTTTTTTTTTTTTTTTTTTTTTTAGCATTTATAATTTTCTACAATGAAAACATGCTATTTTCATGATTAGTTATCTTTTAGTCTTATTAATACTAGGATCAAGCTAGATTATTAAATTATCTATTTACCTATGTAGTGTTCCTTCCAATTGGTCCATTATGTTAAAGGCTCAAACATGGAGCTCCTAGTTATGATCATAAGATAAACAGACTTTTCTATAATGCTGTGAAATTAAAAATATAACTATGTTCATATTAACGAATCATAAAATATTTCTAGGAAAGAAAACAATCTGGTGAAGAATTAGTGATAAAAAAAGCAATACTTCCTATCAGTTAGGGATAACTACTACGTATGTGACACAGATAAAGAAATGAATAAAAACGAGAGTAGCACATTCATGGTCCTAATAGTACAATTACCAAGGCCGTGCATGCGTGCGTGCGTGTGCGTATGAGTGTGTTTGCATGTCTTGTGTATGAGTGTGTGTGTGTATGTGTGTGAGTGCATGAGTGTGTGCGCGTGTGCATATCTGTGTATGTATATGTGTGTGTGTATGTATCATTTGTAGGAACTATCAAATGTACTGATAATTTCTACTTCTTAAAATAGCTGATAGGCACAGGAACATTAATTATTCCTGTAGTGTGTCTTAAGGAAAGAGGAAAGAAGTTGCCACAGGGCCTTGGGATTTGAATGTCTTAGACAAAACAAATCCAGATTATACCTTTTTGTTTTTTTTTTACAGCTGGTTTATATCATTTCCCCAAATCAATTCTTTAAAATCATTTGCAATTCCACTCAGGCAGGTAAGACAGATGTATGTATGTGCCATGCATTTTAGAGAGGGCAGTTCATTAAAAATATAATATGGATGAAGCAGTGCAATATGAAATTTGATGCATAATGCCTGTGGAGGCAGTTATGCAATGGGCTTTAACATCCAGCGTTTATTCTCATTATCGACGTGAATAGTAATTTAATCGGTGGTTCATTTGAGATGCCTATATTTGCCACATATAACCCAAACAGCTGCAGTCACTGGTTGGAAGGCACAGTCTCCCTGGGAACATCAATATGCAAACAAGGCCAAGACCTAGAATCTTTGTTAACTCTCCATCCAGCTGTTAAGTGCATTTGTGAAATTAGAGTTGACCTATAAGTACACTGTAATGCTTTAAAATGTGGTGTTTGAAAAAAATCAATATGGTTCGGAAAGTGTGCTAATTAGACAGCATCCGAGCAATTACAGAGCCAGTATTATGTCAACATACATTTTATTACCCTGAGTCTAGAATTCATTTAAAAGAGACCTCCCAACTTCCTATTAAATATGTCCTTCCCAAATTACCAGCTAAAATCAATCAATAGTTTCTTCTTGAAATCTGTGGCTAGAGGATGCATAAAAGCCTAACAGGAGTAAGGAACAATGCAGGGTTTCTATTTTAAATAAACACCAACCCTGATATGGTTGGAGGTCTTACAAAAGGAGGGCAGACAATTCCATAAGAAACTAAAGCAGGACAATTAAAAGTATGTGAAGCATAAGACATTTTAATGCCATATACTGTGAAATACATTTTCAAGTCATTCAGCAATTACTAGATAAATTTTAAATAAAGGCTTGAGCATCACAATACCTAAAAGGGCTGCAAACAATGGTGGTTCCCTGTACTGGCTGGTTTTCTGTGTGTGAACTTGACACAGCTAGAGTCATCAGAGGAAGCAGCCTCAGCTGAGGAAAGGCCTCCATGAGATTGAGCTGTAAGACCACAATTAGTGATCAATGGAGGAGGGCCCAGCCCATGGTGGGTGGCGGCGCCACCCCTAGGCTGTTGTTCCTCATTTCTAAAAAGGTGGGTTGAAGGAGCCATAGGAACAAGCCAGTAAGCAGCACCCCTTCATGGCCTCTGCATCAGCTCCTGTGTCCAGGTTCCTGCCCTGTGTGAGCTCCTGTCCTGACTTCCTTCAGTGATAACCAGCAATGCTGAAGTGTAAGCCTAATAAACCCTTGCCTCCACAGCTTGATTTTTTTTTTTTTTTTTTTTTTTTTTTTTTTGTCATGGTGTTTCGATGCAGCTACAGAAACCATACTAAGACATTCCCATTGACCAAGGGTTCACAATGACCATGTACAGAGGAAAAAAACAAAAAAACAAAAACAAAAAACACCTGCCCTCAAACTGCAATTGCTGCCCATTCAGATTTTATGTGAGGATGGCCATTTTCTAAAACTAACAGCAAACAAATGTGGCCAGTTATGTAACCCTGCTACTGTGTTTAATTAACATTTCTCATAGGGCATGCACATCAATAAATGAATTCTACATCAAAGATATGTTAGGGTGATCTTGTTATGTCCTTATACTGGGAGGAAAAATACAATACAGTGTTTTGCAGTTACAATACTAGACGGCTACCAGGCCATTGTTTGTTTTTCCTTCTTTTGTTTGTTTGGTTATTTTGGGTTGTTGTTTTGGGATAGAGTGTCTTGTTTTCCAGGCTAACCTTGAACTCTATAGAGCTGAGGATGACTGACCTTCTGGTCCTTCTGCCTCTGTCTCTGAGTGCTGGGATTACACATGCATGCCACACCATTCCCAGTTTATGTGGTGCTGGGGATCAAACTAGGGACTTTGTGCATGGTAGACAAGACAATTACTCCGCATTTCTAGTCCTCTGTCAAACCATTGACTTTTTTTTTAAATTAGTTCAGATATCTCTCTGTAATATTCCAAACTATTCACCTACCATAAATACAAAGACAAATTACACTGTTGTTAGACAAAAATTAAAAAGCACAATGAGAAAATAAAAACTTTACAGAAAAAAAATCTCTTTCCAGATCAGACTTATAAGTAAATTATGTTCAACTCATTTTGAAACTAAAAGAACAAGTCCACCATCTGGTCTTCCTCTTGGAAGAAACTGTATGAGCTGGTGTAAGCTAAACACACACACACACACACACACACACACACACACACACACACACACCATCTGGTCTTCCTCTTGGAAGAAACTGTATGAGCTGGTGTAAGCTACACACACACACACACACACACACACACACACACACACACACACACACACACCGGATTTATAACATCAGCATGCATGAGTCTGGAGTGTCCCCACCGGGCTGTCTCACAAGTCCAGTGTCTCCACCCACCCCTCACCACTAAAGCTGAGCAGAGCTTCCATAAACTCAGTCAAGTCAACTCACAGAGGCTGGAATCTGACATTCTTCTGGATATGCTCTTTCTTCTTCAGCCCCTGATCCACCCAACCTAGTGATTTAGCAAGTCACATGGACACGACCTGAATCACTGTGCCAGGGCTGTCCCTCATATCTGCCTTGAAAATGCATAGCCTGGCTTTTCTCAGTGAGAGGACTCATCCTCATTGTATTCAGTTGAGTAGCTGCATGCTACTTTCTCTTAGCAACCAGCGCTGTCCGTGGGAAAAGCCAACAGTAATGTGATAATAATAAAACCACACCAAAAACCCTACTCCCTTCCCAGCTGCAATTTTATTATGAATTCCTACTCTAGAACATTGGTTCTATAAATATGAGGAAAAAAATGATCACCACATATTAACATTCTGATGACTAGAAAAACAAAATCAAAACGAGAAGATGCAGGTAAAGGTGCTTGCATCGAGCCTAATGCCTTAAATTTGATCCTCAGGGCACACGCAGTGAAAGCAAACAGCCAACTCCTGAAGCTGTCCTCTCCTCCATGCAGTAGTGACAGGTGTGTGAGAATGTATGCAAGTGTACACACACACACACACACACACACACACACACACACACACACAGAGAAATACATGTAATTCAAAAAATTCAAAACAAAGCTGGGCATAGTGACACAAGCCTTTAATCCCAGCATTTGGGAGGCAGAGGCAGGTAGATCTTGTGAGTTCAAGGCCAGCCTGGTCTACATAGAGAGTTGTTCCAGGACAGCCAGAGCTATAGAGAGAGACCTTGTCCCAAACAAACAAACAAAACCCAAGATAGTATTATTTAATGTTGATATTGAAGTAACTTCGAAGATATTTGTCCTCATGCGCAATCTAGGTAGTCAGAAATTAAAATACAGAATCTTATGTGCTAAAATCTAAAGAAGAAATGAAGGGAGAGCATATGGTTAGAAAAAAAGTAGCTAGCTTACCGGAATGCCTGATTCAGAAGCTGGTAATGAAAATGTTCTGGTGCCAGGCCGATGACCACAGCATTGGGGTCACCTGTTTGTACTCCTGGCAATGGGAAAAATGAAAGTTTAGAGCTGTCACACTGTGTAACACAATCTCCAGTTATGTGCACATTTTGCTATCACCAACTAAGAGGAGAGAGAAAGAAAAATAGAAGGTTTGGGTAAGGAGAGGAGGGAGAAGAGACATTAATGTTTTTCCATAGTCTTCATACATGGTTTTATAGCTATTGAGTATGTAGAATATCTGAATTGAAAATGGTAATCCGGTATTTGCTAGTGATCCCTGATTTCAAAATGTTTTACTGATTACAACCAGGAGAACATGAGTGACTGATGAGGGAACGGAATTCTAAGAGGCAAGGGAATTAGACTTACACCTGGCACATGAACGACAAATACTTAAAGCACCATCATGTGGAATTTTATATTTTCTCATATATTAAAGCATGTTTTAGGGTCTTAGTAGCTAACAATAGGACTTCAGATATGACAAACACATTTACCTTTAAGGTGATAATCTATGCCTTCATACGAATAATTTTGCATATGCTAATTCACCTTTGCCCATCATTGTGTTCAGACACCCACTTTCAATTTTTTGTTACTAATTGCCATGAGCATTAAATAACTTGTTAAAGTTTGTTAAGGGAACAAACTAAAATAATTGTCTTTAGTGAGAACTGAGTATTTTTAGTATTAATTCTTTGCATTATATCTACCACTGAAACAAGAGATAATGTTGGCAAAGATGATACAATGTTTTTGAAATATTCCCCCACATTGGTTATTTTCATGTATATAAATATGTTCCAGGTCACTGAATGACAAGATTTCTTTCAGCCCTGACTCAAGATTCTGCTTTTATGTCTCAATTCTAGCTTACTGCTCCTGCATCAGAATCCCACTTTTCTTTTTTAATATCTAGAATTTAAATATTTCTACAGTCAGCAAGGAAAAGGCAGACACAAAGCTCACTCTGCTCTCCTTAGGCTTCTTCAGGAACAACTGTGTTGACTACGAGACTTGTCTTGATTTTCAGTTACTCATCACACTGGAACTGAAGAGCTTGTTGGCTCGCATGTCATCACAGGGACAGAGGCAGAGAATGCCAGAATAATGGGCTCCCTTGAGGCTGAGGAGGGCGGCCTAAGACTACAGCTCTGCAGTCACAAGCTCCAGGCAGGGCTTTGAACTGGGAGTTTGAAACACAGAGGTGCAGGAAGTTCCTCCTCCAAGGAAGTGGCTACCAGGCTTACCAGGTCCCCGCTGCAGTGCCTGCAGGGGCCACTCAGCAGGGACAACAGTTACACCTCATAACTTCTGCACACTGCTTCTGCCTTCAAAGCCCTGAACACTAACTCTTCAGCTTCCTTGACAGTTCTGTGGGCTACTCCATGGCCTTGTAAAATTTACTTTGTGTGCGTGCTATGGTGCAAGTGTGAAGGTCAGAGGACAACTTGCAGGAGTTAGTTGTCCCCTTGCATAGTATTGGTCCCCTTGAAGCAAACCCAGATTTTCAGGCTGTGGCAAGTGCTTTCATTCACTGGGCCATCCTGCTGCCCCACAAACTTTCTTGTTACCATGAAAATATCCATAAACACCCAAAAAACACACCAAAAAAAAAAAAAAAAAAAAAAAAAAGGCAAGAAAGCCTGGTATTATGAGCCTAGATAGATCTGTCATCTAGCTTTTTTCAACCATCGACATTTGGCAATCAGCTCTTGTATTTTTGAAAGTCTTTCTAGAGCAAACCCAGGTTATTGTGTCATCTTACTTTCATATTTATTTTTAATTAATGATGAAAATATCAAAAACCTTAATATAAATATACCAAAAAGTTAATAGCTCCTAATATCATCCAATAGTTGAATTTCCCCAAACATCTTTAACTGTTTCTTAACACAGGGAATGTCAAACTGGCAATCCACAAGGCCCACATTGCCTTTGACTGTTATCTTTTATTTCTCATTCTGTAAGTTTACTTCCTATCCTTCTTGGTATAATTAGACTCTAACTCTGAAGAAGGCTAAACATTCTGCATTTGGCTGATTGTAGTAGTGTGTAAGCTGTTTCTTTACCCCTGTCTTTCCTGTGCACAGGGCATTAGATTGAGAGGCTGTGTAGCTTGTTTCATAGACAGTACTGTGAATTTCTTACCGTATTACACCACAAAGCAAGATTCTGGTTCTCCCACTTGTAGTGGTGTTGATCAGTGGAATCGAGGTGCTGTTAACCACGCCCCTGCACTTTGAAGGTCATCTCTGCAGCTAAGGCTTTAAGGTCTTCTGATAGTCCTGCCTGTCTCTGAGGACTTACCAAGTGGTGATGTTTAATTCTGTCATTTCTAGCTGGGATTCTTCTATAAAGAACTTAATTTTATCAAATATTTGGTTATCTTAAAATACAGTTTAATTGAAAAAGTAAGATAAAATGCTGTTCTCGTCTTTTCAGAATTAAGGATCTAGAGGCCTCCCAATCTTCAGTGGTGGCCTACGGTGGACTGAGCATCACTAGGCTTGTCTGTCTGGTGTGTTATAAAAACCACATCATTCTTTTTGATACTCAAATATTCCCCTCTAGTGTTCCTTGGACATGCCCTCTTCATAGGTCCTCACTAGTTTCCCTACTAACACAATGCACCAAGCAGGTCTCATCTACTGCCTGTCTAGGCAGGGAGTCAGCCACTTTTCCAGGAGCGACAGTAGGGCAATGTCAGCGGACACCATACTCTAAGCACCTGCTTGTCACTGCTCAAAGACACACTCAGTGGAAGACCGACACAACCTGCAAAATTCTAGGGAAGGTAATATGTCTGTTTTCCAGCTGAGTACAGTCAAAGTTGTTTCTACTTCTTACAAGTGATAACTCTGATTGCTACACAGGTATATTTCCTATTAGTACAGGTTTGGAGGTCCTGACCAACTAGTGAAGCTACCGCATGGCATTATAATTAAAGTGTTCACATCTATTTGCATATGTCACAAAGTATCTTTTATGACAACAAAACAATGCAGCAAAGCTTCATATCAGCTACGACATTTTCTACAGTTACTTCTTCTCATGTGAGAACAATCTTCTTTTCATAGAAAAATATGTCATATCCATTGTGAAGTACTTGTACTGTCTAGAATGGCATCTGTTTTTAAGAAGACCCTGATTTATCTCATTTAACCAAGGTAAGAGAGCATAGCCTGGATTAGCAGTTATAATACTCAAAATAATTCTTTTCAAACCATGGCTCACAATTCACTAACAGATTATGAAATTAATTTGCAATACTCTAAATAGCATTAAAAATCAAACAACACAAACAGATAATATAGTATTTCTCACAAAGAGTACCATTTAACACACAGAAACACACACACACACACACACACACACACACACACACACACTATACAGTGAATCTCTCTTATTGTGGATGGTCGTTAAGAAGATCTGAGCAACATCAATTCAGACTCAAACTCTATTACTCCAGCAGATGACCTGGAAAAGTCGCACTCCAGCGTGCTGAGGTGCTTCCTTTACCCCTAGTTTATAGCGGCTCCTAATGTGTAATGTGTGTGGTAGAGCTGGCCGGCCAAGCCTTAGCGGGGTAACTCACTGTAAGGATGCAGACAAGGCTGTTTCTGTTCTGTCTGTTTTGTGGACTCTTCAGTAGTAACAGGGGCATCTAAGGAGATGCCTCTTGCACATGATTTCAGGCATGAAGAGCTTGTTTGTTACTCCTCCAGAGCCTCTCTCACCTGAGAAATCAGGCAGTGCACGGTCATCAACCAACAGCATGGGCCTGACTTGTTTCTGCTCTACTAAGTTTCGGGCTGCTGTCAGAGAAGTGAAGATTTCATCTTCGGAGATGTCAAACTCCAGCTTCTTCAACCTTTCCAGGAGGTCTTGCTTGCTCTCTTTGGTTGTGTTGGTCACAAACCTAACCTTCACAGAAGTAGCCCGTAACCTGAAAAGTAAAACTCAAAAGTGAAGAGGTGGCTTTCACCTCCTAGTCCAGAAAGCCTAGGACAAGCGTTGGGACACAAGGGTCAGTCACTGTGCTGTTGTGGACAAAGCTGTTGTTGGTATTTTTAATCTCCCAATGCTTACAAACTATCTACACCCTCCCTATGGGCAGTGCTTTGCCTCCAAAAGCCGGAATGTTAAACTTTGAACGCTCCATCCACTTTTGTAGGGCCTTCTGGACTTTAGCTACCTTCTGCTGTGGAGTTTAGTAAAGAAATGAAACATCACTCACTGTCCTCACGGTTCTGAGGGGTAAGTTATCCTAAAGATTATCCACTAATGTAACACAACAAAACTAAGGCGGATGGAGGCATAAACGCCCCAGCTTTATTCAGCTCCGTAGCAGTGGAGCCATGACAATGGTTCCTATGTCCAACAGTGTTTTATAACCCTTCCCAAGAGAACCAGGGACGCCATAGTTACTCCATAGTTACTCGAGAATCGTGAAAGTAATCTGGAAGCAAGCAACAACAAAACACAAACAAGTGGAATAGATAATCCAGTACATCTCACAGAGTGAGAGGTGTTAGTCTCCACGCTCCAGGGAGTCACCGAGCTTACAAACAGAAGCCACTCGGACAGCTCAGACAGATGCTCAAAACTGGGTTTCTTGTCAGACTCAGAAGCTAGCAGAAGAATGGAAAGTTTGAGCCATACAGTGAATTCAAGGCCAGCCCAGACTAGGCAGCAAGGCCCCGTCTCTCTTAAACTGCTTACACACAGGACTAGATGATTCCGCCATATGCTGCTGAATAATTGGCATGGTTTCAGAGAAAGAATTTGTGAACCTAGCTAGCCTTCTTTAAAAATATTCTTTTCTTGGTTCAACAGTGTTTTAACATAAAATCTAAAAGTAATGATAATTTAGCTGTAATTTAGAATTTGTAATAGACTGTTGCTTTTTATGTCTTCCCCAAAAGGTCACAAGGAATAAAAGTACTAGACACAATTTAAAGCAAGCAAACAAATAAAATATAGTTTTAAGAATGCACCCAAAGAACATTAAATAAAGTTACTTGATTAATTCACTGTAACCCTGATCCCCTCTATAATGCCGTGTGATAGCTTTTCAGCACATACTCAATGTGGTGGTTTATCTCAGAAAAGAAAATGACTGCTTCAACGTGGCTTTCATCCTAGAGATGGGGGGGGGGGATCACTGTGCAATAACCACACCAGTTTCACCCAGTTTGTTTAAAAGCAAACAACTAACTTTTTGTGTAACTAGTTCTCCAACTTCCTTTGTCTATTTGTTTCCATAGAAAACATAGTGGTCGGGCCAGTGCAGAGATTTCCCTGGTAGGAAAAGCAGCCATTGATGCCGACAGAACAGTGGACAGCCTCCTGCCTGGCAGAGGGCAGCCTCCGGGATCACAGAGATCACAGAGGTGTTTCTGTTCAGCAGAGACAGAAGGATTTTTCTCTTCCCTAGTGCAGAAAGCCCGTTTTCAAAGCAGCGAGACCAGTACTCATGTGTGGTTTTGCTGAGCTTGTGGACAAAGATTTAAAGACAGGTGGGGACATAAGTCCTCATTTTCAACCCAGAACTCTTTGTTCAGTGTGGCTTTGGATATATACATGGAGGAATACGATACTCAAGGCAATTAAAAGCAACGGGGGGGGGGGGCCCGCTGACAGCAGGTTCCCACCTTGACCATGAGGTCTGGGGTGGAAGGTTCATGTCCTACTGTGTAAAAAGCTGTCAAACCCCACAGGTCTGCAGGGCTCCTCAGCATGACTGACAGCTGTGGGAACTTTAGCTGAGCTCATCGTGTTAAGAGAAGTGGCACAGCATCCATTCCAAAATAGATTCTGAAGTGAACTGCTTCTAGAAATTAATGTTAATTTCATCAATTGCTGTCAGCGTTTCCATAGTTCAAGTATAGCTAAGGAAATCAAATGAGAGAACTGTGGCCTGGGAGGGCAGCTGCAGTAAATAAACACCAGGCTCTAGCTGGGAGGCGATCTGGGAGAGAAATCTCAAGCTCTGGCTCATCAGAGACTTAGCAATGGAATCATAAAGGAAATCCCTTAGATAAAAAATGAAGAGTTTAAATAGTTCTGCCAAATTTTACTTATTTTTATAAAGCCCTTTCACAGTTTGTAGCAAGGCAGCATGAGTTTTTAGTTCAGCTTCTCTAGTGCTTCTATGGAGGAAATAAGAATTAAATTTAGCTGTTAAAAATAAATAGGTCTGGGGCTGTAACTCAGCCTGCCCAGCCTGCATAAAACCCTAGGTTCTGTTCCCCAGTGCTCTACAGGCCAGGGCAGTGGCCCACACCTGCAATTCCAGTCCCTGAGAGATCAAAGTGGGAGGACCTGAAGGCAAGGTCACCTTCAGCTTTGAGTTCAAGGCCAGCCTGAGAGACTTGAAAAGGCAAGAAAGCAAGCATGAGAAGTCTGTTCGACAAGCTCACTGGTAAGCAGTCACCCATCCTGGCCCTAGAAGGCTGACTCAGACAGAGATGATGTTAAGGGATGCAGTCTAGCTGAGAACCCAGTTGTCTTTTGGTTTTAAACGCTCACTGCCCATCATCCCTCCAGTCACGAAGTCAGCATCATGACTGTAGATGAAAGGGACAGCTCCACCTAATGAGCACCAGCTACACTGGCATTCTTATGTTTGATTCTCTGCATGGAGAGTAAGGACTAGAGGAAGGATGACACCTGTGTTGGCTGTTACCCTCCAGCAGTGGTGACACTTGTCACCGGATTTTCAGATTAAGAGCACACAGTGAATATTCTAGGGTTTGAAAATGACAAGTACCAAATTTTATATTGTTGATTTTGAAAATCTCTAATGTCAGTTTACGTTGTGTATATATGTGCACATGTGTGTGGGTGTGCACATGTGTACATACGTAAGGTCAGAGGGCAATCTCAGTTGCTTTTTCTTTGGTGCTTTCTGCCTCTTCTGGGATAAGTCTCCTAGCCTGAAGCTGGCAGATCTGGCAAGGTTGGCCTGCCAGAGAGTATTGGATCCATCACACCTGGCTTTAAGTGGGTGCTGGGGACTGAACTCGGGTCCTTATGCTTGCAGGGCAAGCACTGTCTTTAATGAGCCACCTTTCTAGCTCCTCAGTTCTCTTTACCCGTATTCTCTGCTTGTTTCTAGACTTGTACTTGCTTAGTACTATATTGGTGAGTCAGAAATATAAGACAGTCCTTAATCTTTGGAAGTATTAAATGTAGTTGATGGACATATTTCAAAAATTCCAAGTCTTTCAAGAAAGCATTATTTTGAACAGTTGCAAATTCAATGTTAGATAATATGTAATGAGGAAGCTGAACATACCTGCGTGTGTATGTGTTCCACACACATACATATATATATGTGTATATATGTGTATGAAAATATATATATATATATATATATATATATCAACTGGATTTCAGGATTCATGTGATCCCCCCTAGTGCTATTTATTCTATTAAATTCTTATTTTAGTTTCTTGAGTCTCCATCCCCAATTTACATTATCGATTTAAAAAACCAGATGGGGGAGGGAGGAGAGAGAACAAAGACTAGAGCAAAAGGCCAAACCTAATAAAGATAAAGGCAGGGAGAACAATGTTCGAGGATATTGCAATGCATACATCTTCAAGCTGAACCAAGGCAGTTCCGCCATGTATGGTGAGCTGGTAAAATGCAATCTCAAGGCCATCCATTTAGCTAATGATCTGCCTTGGTAAAGCGGCACTTAAAAACGTATTTGTCATCTGAACCTGGAGGATAGCTTGCCTTTTAAGAGCTTCCTGTGCGCCTGGCACAGCTGCATCTTCAATGTGAAGTGTGCCATTGAGATCTACCAAAACAGCCTTTAACGCACGGCGTGCTGCCATCCTTCATTCCCTAGGAGAGAGCAAATGAAATTAAAAATACAGCTTAACAAACAATGGACAATTAAAAACTGGTAAGCAATCAAAAATACCATTCACATCCAGGAAGATATTGCCTGGTGTTACGCTGCTCCTTTTTTGGAAAAAAAAAATAGCATTTAAAAAAAACAATCAAAACTCCAACATTTAATGCATGAAACTTTTAATAATGCTTAATGTTTTTATATACTTCTTTTTAGTCTTGAGTTAAAACTTGGAAGGGAAATGCTAAAATGAGATGCTGCTACCTACTTTCAGGTTTCTTAGAATAACTGGTGAATAATTTGTTTTAAATGTGAGAATAATAAATACATAGACAGGAACACTGTATTAACAAGGTCTTTTCATTTTTGGTTATGGACAATTAAAACATTCTAATTGCCACTGCTATGTTCTGAATTGGTGTGTGTGGCCAAGGAGCTGCCAGTATTTACAGGTACTGAGGGGGAAAGTTACATAGTAACAAAAAATAAATGTTTACACACACACACACACACACACACACACACACACACACACACGCACGCACGCACGCACGCACGCACGCACGTATTTAAACTGCGGTCTCATATAGTCCAGGCTGACGCCCTGAGCAGCTGAAGGTCACCGTGAGACCCCTGCCTCCACCTCCCCGCCATGCACCACCATAGCTGGTTCTTACAATGTTGGGGATTGAACCCTGGGCCTGGGCTTCATGCATGCAAGGACAGCATGCTGTCAGCTAATGCAGCAGAATTTAAAGACGGCTTCCTCACTTTGCACACTTCCCCCTCAAATGCTTGTTAACTACTTAGTTCATTTGACCAGGCCTTGTTATAGCCCAGGCTTGAATTCACAAACCTTCTGCTCCTAAGGACTGGAGTCCAGCCCTGCGCTACCCCTTTGCTCTCTATTGTGAGTTCTAGCACCTAATGATAAATATGGCTTATAGATCATTAGGGGACAGGTCTTAAAATGTAAAGGCTCAAGGGAAGGAATGCCATTGAGACTTAGAGTTTGTTTTGAGACAAGGTCTCACTATAGCCCTACCTGGCCTGGACCCTCTCTGTAGTGATATCAGGTTTGCCTCCAATTCACAACAACACTCCTGCGTTTGTCTCCCAGAGGCAGCACTATAGGCATTTGCCACCAAGCCTGTCATTTACAGGGGGCTTTTTTTTTTTTTAATTTGCTAATTTACTTACGAGACACTTTTTTTCTATTCGTTTCTTGTCTTTATAAGCTGTCTTAATTAGGGTTACTATTGCTGTGATGAAACACCACGACCAAAGCAACTTGGGGAGGAAAGGGTTTATTTGGCCTAAACTTCCACAGCACTGTTCATCTGTGAAGGAAAATGAGAACTCAAGCAGAGCAGGATCCATGGAGGGTGCTGCTTACTGACTTGCTTCCATAGCTTTGCTCAGCCTGCATTCTTATAAAACCTAGGACCACCAGCCCAGGGATGGCATCATCCACAATGGGCTGGGCCCTCCTCCATCAATCACTAATTAAGAAAATTCTTTATAGCAGGATTTTATGGAGTCATTTTCTCAATTGAGGTTCCCTCCTTTCAGATGACTCTAGCTTGTGTCAAGTTGACATCAAACTAGCCAGGATACAAAGAATACTGTCAGGTATACAACAGAGGCATTAAGGACAATAAAACCACCCCTTTTATCCATCCTTCAACTTCAGAAGACAAAGATATATAGTCAGAGCTTCCTGTTTACCTTCTTACCCAAGTCCTCCTCTTATATAATCAATGCTTTATATTAATGATAATATAGTGCATACACTTAGCAATTTGCCATATCATTCCCAATCATGTTACATGTGTGTAGGTTACTATAGGTAGCTTTGGACTTGTCATTTTCACTACTGTTTTCTACTACATAAATGCACTATAATATGTTCTCCTGATGAACAGTCATAGTTTTACTATTTTATACCACAAAGCACATCTATTAACAAGTTTGCATGTCTCCTTGTAGATACTTCTGAGTATTTCTCTGGGATCTTCCAGGGTCTGAAGGTGTACACACATCCTCCCTTTATAGAATACTGTTAAGTTGTAATCATGGTGTTATTTTATGAACTCAGCATAAAACTCCATAGAATTTGTTAATTTTAAGAAAAAGACTGGGTGTGGTGGTACAGGCCTGTGATGCTAGCTCCAGGGTTCAACAGCACCCTCTGGTTATATAGTTGAGTTTGAGGCCAGCCTGGGTTATCTGACACCCCAACCCACCCCAAAAGAGGAAAACAAAATGAATTCTGCTTGATTTTGTCAAATATCTACTGAAAGAATGCAAAGACCAAAATATAAAAGAGGTATTAATAACAGAACAGTCAGGGTTGGAGAGATGGCTCAGTGGTTAAGAGCACTAACTGCTCCTGCACAGGGCCAGGTTCAGTTCCCAGCAAACACATGGCAGCTCATAACTGCCTGTGCCAAGTAACCCAGTTCCAAGGACATAAGGCATTCTCTTCTGACTCCCCTGGGCTCCTGCCTGCAGAGAGAGCATGCAGGCCCGTGTGCAGACACACAATTAAAAACGAAAGAAAGAAGCTGAGGTCAACCAAGGCCAAGTACAAATACACCCTTTTGTGAGTCTTCACAACATTCCATCCCGGGCTTTACTGTGACCTTAAAATGAAGATATGGGTGTGTGCACCGGTGAGCCTAGCATTTGAAAGGCCCGACCGCAGCAGGATCACAGCAAGAGACCAGTCTGACTGCACAGCAAGTTCATGCTCTAATTAGCTAATTAGCAAGGCTGTGTCTCATAACTAAAAGGTAACTGAAGGTTATTAAAGGACAGAGCACTAGAAGAACACCACAAAGAACTATACTTAACAACTGTCCAACTAGTGCCAGAGAATCATAAAAAGCTATTGATGGTTTTAATTCCTCCAGAAGCACCCAGAGGCATGATGTTTTAAAAGCCTACATCGTGTTTATGTGTGTGTGTGTATATATACATATATACATACACACACATATATACACACTCCTATATTCCATAGAACATACCTTGTTCTTTTGGAGCTTCAAACGCGTGAGGAAGGGAAAACACATGCTTCAGTCACATTTCAGAATACACCTACTTCTTCAGCCCTCTCTTCTGAACCCTTACAATCCCTGTTAACTGAACCACAAGCTACTATTTGACAAAAGAAACTCGGCTTGGTCCCTGGGCCCCCGAGAGATACCAAAGACCTCAAGTCCCTTTTCTAATGTGGTACACACTTGCTCACAGCTATCCTTCTACCAGATAACTGGAGTCACCCTTCGATACAGCACTTAAAGCGGTGTCAATAATGCTGTGCAGAATTAGTCTATGGAACCCTTCAGGGAAAGATGACAAGAACTTCATACTATTTAGCATAAATAAAATTTTATTTCTCCTTTACAATATTTCTTGCCCTCCCTCCCCTGTTTCCTTCCTTTTTGGTATTTCTAGAACAAAGTCAGCCCAAGCTGGCCTTGTACTCATTAGTCTGGCTCCTGAGTGATGGAATTACAGGTGCCCACCACTGTATCTGCCTCTTTTGCAGTAGCTCTGGTTGACGGCTGATTGAATGTGCAGATGCAGACCCTGCAGATATGGAGGGCCACCTGCAGTGATGGGTGAGCATCAACCTGGAGAGAAATATGAGGGCTTCAAAGGGAGCCTACAGTCTTGTTCCAATCTGGGAGCAACGCTGCCCATTACCACAAATTATGACTCTCTCTTCAAGAGCTGGACCACCGAGGGAGGAGAAACAAAACCAAACTCCAAACTGTTCAGTGTGAAGTAGAAAAGCATATTTACTTTTATGCCAAGCAGAACTGATCCGAATACTGCAAAGTACAATTGTCCTAAAAAATATCACTGGGCCAGTTGAGTCTTTACCTGAAGTTGCTCTTTTCTCTATCAGCCACGGGCAGTACCAGCCACCCAGATGCTAAATCCAGTCAGTCCTACTACCTTTGCTTTTCAGCCTGACTTTGTAACTACCTTAGGGGGTTTTGTTGTTTGTTTTTCTTTTCTTTTCTTTTCTTGCTTTTCTGAGACAGGGTTTCTCTAGCTTTGGAGCCTGTCCTGGCACTCAATGGCCTCAAACTCACAGTGATCCTCCTGCCTCTGCCTCCTGAGTGCTGGGATTAAAGGCGTGTGCCATCAATGCCTGGCCTTAAAACTACCTTAATTTTAAGATCACCTCTGAACTATTTTGAGAAAATCCCAAACCTCCTCTCTGATGTCTCTTAGTGCCAACCTGGTACGCAGGAGTGGCAGCTGAGCACAAAACAAAGGAGGTGAACTCATCTGGGTATGAACCCTGCCTGCATGAAGTCGGCCATTGTAGCTGCTTAGCCTGTTTCTTCACTGCTGAGAGTATTAATACCCTGAATAGTGCTCCACACTTGAAAAGGTGGGGTTCTGTATCTGAGGTTGGGGGGAAGGGAGAGTACATAATGATGCGATAAGGATTACTTAAAAAAAAAAAAAAAACAAAAAACAAAACAAAACAAAAAAACAAAATCGCCAAGACAAAAACGATGCAAGCGTTGGGAAACTGAGAACCCTATCAAAGCAATGGTATTTGTTGCATATAATTTTAAAAACCTGTGTAAATAAGGTAAGACATAAGATTCCAAAGAAATCATCCTCATCGAGTTTCTCTAATAATGCCACCTGGACGCTCGGGGTTAAAACGCTTCCCTTTTTTTTTTTAAACAGTTACCGACATTTTGGGGACCACTGTGAGCATCAATAAGTGATGCTATTATTCATCCAGCCATTCTATTAGGTCTTCTGCAGGATCCCCATACCCCGAGGCCGTTCTTGGCAGCGTGCTCGGCGGAAGGCTTCTGCTTCCCTCGTCGGTGGCTGTCTAAAACTGCTCCTGACTTCACCGACCTCCTCCCCTCTGGCCACCTCCTCTAGTGCTCAGCCTCAGACATCATTTCCCGGGACTCTGTGTGACCACAGTATGAAGCCTACCAGCCTCGGCCCACCCTGCTTGCACCTCCCACCGAACTCTAGAGCTCTGTGAGTGGACGGATCTCAGTCATCTCTCCCTGAGCTGGCAAGGCGGAAGATCAAAGGTCTCTTTTTGCGAGCCCAAATGCAATGGCCTCCACCTCCCGGGGGCGAGGCTGCCCTGGCCCCGCACCGCCGCACTCACTCCCAGCGCAGAGGGCGGTGGATGCTGCCCACCCGCCTTGGGAAACCGAGCCCAGACAAGGCCAGGGCAGGCCCGGGAGACCAGTCCTGCGCATGCGCAGGCGGCGGAGGGCCGGAAGCCACCGGGCCGCGGGCGGGCGGGCCCGGGCCGCGCCGCTTTCTAGGGTGGCGCTGGCGCTTCCCCATCCCGCTCCCAGGAGACGCGGCCTCCGGCAGGGGCGCGGCCGCTACTCCCCAGCCCGCCGCCTCTTGGCTGCGCGCGCGCCTCCTCACCCTCGCTGCCCGCCGTCCTCTCGAAAGGCCGGAGCGCCGCAGTGCACAGCGCCGGGCCCGGAAGGAGTCCCGACGCGCCGGAAGTCCCGCCCCGCGTGCAAGCGCAGCCTCCGGAGGGGAAGGGGCCGCAGTTGGCGGGCGAGCAGCCAGCGGAGCCCGGGTGACGGTGCTCAGGATAGAGCCCCGCACCGCACAGCATTGCACAAACATTGCCTCCTCCCGTCTTCGCGGCCCTGTCTCTTGGCGTCTTTTAGAGGACTCAGACATTTCCACGATCCTTCAACGCCCCATACCCCGAGTCTCCTTTTCGGTACTTAAAATAGCATTGGCGTTTATCTGTGTACTAGTAACTTCAGGTCTCTGCGTCTTCCCACCACGCCACCCAGAATTGTGCCTTCAGCGTTCCTGGCCTGCTTTTCCTTCCATGAGAGCGCCTTACCTGTTTTTAGAGAAGGAAGGTCCTGGTCCACTTGCCTCGGTCTTCCTTCCATCAGGGGTCACTGATTGCCTCCTTTTGATCCAAATAAATTGAGTGCGGGCATAGGCAACCTTATATGGCCACTGTGTGTGAGGATTAATTTTGTCAGCGTGACTAGGTTTGAAATCACTCAGTGACACCCCTTTGGGCATGTCTATGAAGTTGCTTGCACAGCTTATCCAAGGGAAGGACCCATCTTTAATGTAGGCCGTTACCACCCTCACTTCATAGACGGAGGTCCCAGGCTAATTACTAAGGGGTTGGAGAGAAGCCCCCTGACCATCAACATTTATCTCTGCTTCTTGTGGAAGGATGTGGCCAGCAGCCTCGTCTTTTTGTTGCCATGCATTTCTCCACAATGATGGGCCATATCCTTAGACCCAAATAAATCCATGGTGAGTTGTTTTGTGTTGTGCCTACCGGTTTCCTCAACCTTCAAGGAAGTGACTCCAGACTGTAAAAGCAAAAGGTTTTTATTGCTAAGAACCAAACCGGCTGGGACCTCACTCTATAGGAAGAGTAAGGCGCCTGCTTACAATTGGGAAGCGTTTTTAAAGGGAAAGGGAGGCTTGAGACTGCTAATCTCAGCCCATAAGGTTTCCAAGGTTATAGAGATTTCATAGAGCACAGTTTTTTACAAGGCGGGATTGTTTAGCGCACCTGCAAGGTTAGGGGGTTTTCTTTCTCTAGGACCAGCGGGCTCAGTGGCCTTGTCCTTAAGATAATGGGGGGGGGGGGAGGCAGGGACAATGTCCTCTCCAGTCAGGGAGTTATCTATATCTATTGGCAGAAGCACTTGTTCTTTCTAGTTTTCCCTTCTTGCCATGAGTCACGTATCTTTTAGTTATTAATTTTCCCTCACATTTTGGTCAGGTGTTTCGTCACAGTGAGAAAAGCGATTAATACACCATGAAAATGAAGTAGCTTTCGGGAAGTGTGATGTGACAGTTTACACATAGGGAGCCTCTTGTCCAGACTGATGCTCTGAAGCTGACCCAGAACCCATATGCTATTAGAGCACCACTGAGCACTCTCTAGAGATGGACTGGGGAGACCCGCCTCTCCTTGGGGAATGGGGTGGAGAAGTCTGTTGAGTTCACTGTGTATTAAACCGTTCTTACTGCACGCATCCACTTTGTAACAAGCAAAGTCCCTGGCGAACAGGCAGCTGTGAGCAAAAATACTGAAACAGCCATCTTGATTTACCCTCTGCCAGCACCAGACATCTGCAACACTCCACAGACACCGCTAGTTTGAATGAGAATCCCCAGCCCCCATGTTTGCACCCTTAGCTGATGAACTCTTTGGAAGGGATTAGGATGTATGTCCTTGTTGGCGGAAGTCTGTCAGTGGTGGATGGGTTTTGAGGTCTCAAAAGCCTGCTAGGCCCTGATTGTCTCTTTCTGCCTGCAGCTTTTGCATCAGGATGTAAAGCTCTCAGCTACAGTGCCAACACCACGGTTATAACAGGCTGACCCTCTGAAACTGTAAGCAAACCAATTAAATGCTTTCTTTTTTATAAGAGTTGCCTTGGTCAAGGTGTCTCCTCACAGAGACAGAACGGTGACTAAGACAAGTCTTGAGATGACAACTGTGATGGCTATTATTGGTTATTATCTTGACTACATCTGGAATGAACTAACTCAAACTGGGGACACTTGTATGTAATTTTTTCTTTTCAGTTTTTCAAGACAGGGTTTCTCTGTGTAACCCTTACTGTCCTGGAACTCTTGGCATAGACCATATTGGAGGGATTTTTTTTTTCTTAATTAAATCATTTGAAGTGGAAAGACCCACCTTTAATCCTATCTTTTGAGGTGGGAGGATCCACCTTTAATCTGGGCCACACCCTCTGCTGTCATCCTATATAGACACAGAAGGAAGTTTTTTTTTTTTTTTTTTTTTTTTTTTTTTTTTTTCTGCCTGCTTGTTTTGCTGGAGTTTTTTTTTTTTTTTTTTTTTCTCTTGCCTGCTTGTTCTTGCTGGCAAGTCCATTCCTTCATTGACATTACAGTCAATTTCTCTGGGAATCTGGCAAGTACTGAAGGCCAGCTGAGACATCTAGCTTGGTGGAGTGAACAAAGCCTGGATTCTTGGGACTGTCCATTGGTAGATGGTCATTGTTGAATTAGCTGGACACAGCCTCACCACTAGGTTGTAAGCCACTCTAGAGAACCTTGAAGAACACACCACCACCTTGTCATGCCTGAGTACCCTACTTTCTGAAGGTGCAATCTGAGGCTGGTCTAGATTAAACAGTTTGTACCGGCATTTTATTAACAAGTCTGGTGTAAGGAGTAAGGTTTTTCCTGCCGGCCTGGACCCGCCGCTGCGCCAGCCCCAAATAACACAGAGACTCTGTATTTGATATAACGCTGTTGGCCAGGTACTAGTTTCTTATTGGCTAGCTCTGTCTTAATTATTAACCCATTTCTGTTAATCTAAGTATTTCCACGTGGTCTCATCTTACTGGAGAGCTGGGGCTGGTGGTTCTGCTCTCTCCCGTCTCTCCATGCTGACTCCTCCTTACTACTTCCTTGAGAATCCTCCTTGTCTCCTAGTCCCACCTACCTTGCTTTCCAATTGGCCCACACAGTGCTTTATTCATTAACCAGTATGAGAAACATATTTATAGACTCACATCTCCCATCAGTCTGGTGTAAAAGTTGTGAGACTGTGATTGGTCCCAAACACAAGCCACAATGGCTGTAGTAGCTGGTAATAAGGGACAAAGCTGTGATTGGTCCCAACATCCCTTCTTGGCTCTGGAAGTAGGCTGTCTAGGTTCACCCAGTCAACAGGCACTTTCCTATGCTACCTGTCCTAGTACTGCAACATCAGGTGTCATAAAAGGCTTTTCTTGAACGGTCTTCCTTCCTTCTGTTGTGTAGGGTGAGGTGGTAATGCCCAGGAGGAAGCAGGAGAGTTACTATGGCATTTATATAGCTCAGCAGGCTGCGGGGCTGATTAAAGAGACACAGCCAACTGTAGCTAAACAGCTAGAGTGGCCAGAGCAAGAAGAAAATGGGGAGGGCGGCTCAAAAGAGCAAAAGGGCAGAATGCCAAGACAGATCAGAAAATAATAAATAATAAAAGTCCGTAAAGAGCCAGAGAAGATAAACTGTAGGCTTGGTCACCAGGATCGTTCATAAGAACATCTGAATCTTTAAAGCTAAGAAACCCCAAGTGCCTAGGCTATATACAAGAACACTGGCTGCTGCCAAGGGCTGAGACCTAGCACTGCCTAGATGCTGTGAAGCCAAACACAGTCAGCAATCATTGAATCTTGACTTTCTAGGTCTGCACCAGAGTTGTAAGGCTAGGGGTGCTGAGGCTTGCACCAAATCTGCACTGGCCGGCCACCTGCCCACCTGCCCCCTCTCACCCAGTCCCAGCTGCCTAACACCTACAGAAACAATGACTGCCAAAGACCAGCCCCTTGTGGAGCTTTACCTGTCAGGGCAGCGCGGCTCTGTTCCTTTAGTCTGTCTACAGTTCATGAGCAAAGCCTAAAAGCCACCATACTCAGTAAAACTGTGCTGTGAGCTTGTAATATCTAGAGTAATATCAAGGCCCTTCAAAACACAGCAAGGCAGACATACTGGCCAGAGCACGAGGACCACAACTGCTAAAGCATTTGGAGTCTATGAAGATCACACATTGTTCACCCTGAGAATGGACAAAGGGCGGGGGATGTGGAGGGGAACTGGGAATGCAAGACTACGGTCGACTAGAATAAAATACAGCAGTTTCTGATCTCTTTCTGAAAATCGTATATGACTCAGTGTGTAGAAATGGAATGTCCTGAGCTGATCACTATTTAGAGGTTCAAACTTGGACTCAATCATCTTCACTGTCTTAAAAATACAAAACCAGGTGTGAGTCCTGAGACTGGTTTATTAACTCTTAGGCCAGAGAACATCCGAGTACTAAGATTGCTGCTTCCTCTTAGGAGCCAAGCATCTGAATGTGTTTTCCTGGTCCAGCTGTCAGCCCTTTCGTCCAAATGAGAAGTCAGCCCTCACCAACTGCTCCAGTTTTAGAAGTAACTTAGCCTTAAAAGTTATTCGAGGGTCTTCTTGATTTGTCAGCAATGCAGTTATTCATTGAAGAAATGATTGAATTATGAGTATTAACTTTATTATAACTCTATTCAGCAATTTTACAGTGAAGAACAAAACAGAGATCAATAAATTAATAATGCTAGGTTTATACTAAGGCACAAACCAAATGCTTGAGTTGGAAAGTCAACTTTATTTATAAAAGTTTTCCTGTACAGAAAGATGCCATCCCACCCATTTAAAACATTGCAACAGAAACATTTCACATAATATTTGCACAGTTTAAATCTTCCTATATAAAATGTACCATAGTATTATGGGTTGAGCAAAGTACCTCACAAGGTTGGCCCAAGATTAACAAAAGACATCAAAACAAACAGAAATTAAAAGTTAGCTAGCATAAATGGTCTACTGACAGACAGAATGAGCAACTAAGAATCATACCTTTACTATGCTACTCCAAGAAAAGGAAATATGACCTGGGAAATGATTCATGATAAACTGCCTGTTCCAACAGCTTACTTTGTGATTACATGGGCCAAATTTGCTATCTAACAGTTGTACTGATTTTATCAAACAAATCATCACTGTAAAAAGAGAAGACTTTATAACAATGAAACTATATATGTAAATACTCTGGTCTCATTGTTAAAGTCAGCAACAGCTTAAAAAGAACTTAAAACCACAGTCACCAAACAACTGATTTACAGAATTGGAATTCTCCCTGAGATCAGGGCATTGCCGCATGGCGTTATCTATAAATTTCTTTATAGCAGAGATGATGTAGACTACTTAAGCAAAGACCTCAGAATAAATTACCCAAATCACCAATTTGTCAATCACATGTAACTGTTCATTTAAAAACCTCTTTAAGTTTACACAGGAAGTTAATTACCCTTAGGTCATTCCTAAATGACAAGGGATTCCAAACTTTGGAAAGAAGTCCATCCCTGAGTTGTGAGACAGAACAATATGTAAGGAGGCAGAGGCAGCAGCCCTTAAATAACCTAGTTTAACCATACAGGTGTGCAATCCTGGAGCACTCCTGCCTCTGATGATCTGATCTTTCGTACTGTAACAACAAGTTCAACACTGAAAAACATCAGATATATAGAAGCAGGTTTTATTGTCAACTTTACATTTTTTGTCAGCTGCAAGATGAGCCTGCTAAAACATGAATATTCCAGTCACGATGGCAATAGTAATTTCTGGGGCCTTTCTTCTGAGTCTCTGATTTCCCAACGATGTTCAGCCAAATAACAAAAGCAATACAATAGTAATTGAGTTGACTATTATCAATGGCACTGAAAAGAAAAAGAAAAGTTTGTTACTATAAAAAAAGAAAAAAATTAAACAGTAGCAGGTAGCTTGCAGGGAGGATGGAAGTATCTAAAAATATGTCATCATAATCATGTTGTAATAATAATAGAAAAATACACTATTATGAAACCTAAGACATTTCCCCTGTACTCCAGGCTGGCTTGGGGCTTGCAGTATCCTTTCCCTGCCTCCCAAGGGATGGGATCACAGGTGTGGACCACCACACTGCATGTCGATATGCATGGAGGCATCTTTGGATGGGGCTGGGGCAGCTCTGAGAGCAAGGAGGACCAGGCAAGATCCACATGGCTGCACACTTGAGCAGAAATCCAGTGCAAAGAAGGTTCTGCAGTTCCCTCAAGAAGAATAAACTTATTAACAATGAATCCAAAGTTATGATTAAGACATGAAAAGTCTCTAATTGCAATGCTTAAGTACAAGGTATCTACACCCTTTCCTGATTGAAGCATTGCTCCAAAGTATTTTCCAATACAAAGGCAGATATAGAACCGATATTTCTACAACGTGGAAGTCACTAGTAACATTCCATCTCCTGGAAATCAGATGCAATATAAAAAGAGACCAGCAAGCTTTGAGCAGTAAATCTAGGTTAAAGAAAAAGTTCCTACCACAAATGAGAACTTCATCGTTCTCACTCTCAAAAGCTTTGCTACTTAAATCCCATCACAAAATGGTAACTTAGAGTCCTGCCAGGTTTTCTTTGTACCTCTCATCACGGTCCTGACAGATCGAACGAGGTTCATTAGTTGAGATTTAATTCCTGGCTCCTCTCCGAATCCGCCAATTCCCTGGTCTGTTCCCCAGCCAACTGTGCAAGATAAAGACGATTAGCTGAGTTAAATGTATTATGCGCTTGTCTTGTTTCCTCATTAGTCATCTTTTAAAACATTAGTCTGAGCCCTGTAAAGACATAACGTGTAAAGTCATTCATCTTAAAGTTAAGATACGAGTTCAATAGGTATTCTTCCTCTTTTGATTGTGGCAACGATCATATTCTGTTCATTCCACTTTGAGTTTATAAAGTAATCTGCAGTTCAAATGTTCCCATGGTGTTCAACAAATTGAAGACAGTTACTGTCACAACCTGATTTCTTTTTCTTTCTTTAAAAATATCTAAAAAAAACCCTTTCTCAGCACAGAACTGAAAAAATATGCTAGGGCGAATAATTACTAGTGCAATTAAAAGGCTGTGTCATCTAACAATGTATCCATATGAAAATGCAGAAGCGGGGAACCATGTGGGCAGTTTTATCGTGCGGTTTGGACAGTCTTCAGCACAGTTTTCCATTTCCTCCATCACTCTGCATTCGAGCCAGTCTCTGTAAATGAGTCTCTTCACCCCATCATTTCCCAGTGACAAGCCACTTTTATCCTTTATCTAACCTGTCCTTTCTGTGTTACTTTCTTCTAAAGATGTCCTTGTTTCAACATTTGTCCTTCTCATGTCCTCATTTCAAGTCCACTTTACTCTCAAATGACTACAGAGTTAACTAATTCCTGGCATGCTAACCTCTAAACCCGAAGACAGAAAACAATCTATTTTATACACAAGAGAACCAAGTGTCGGGAAACTCTCACTTAATCAGCTTTCATTGGGTTGAGATAACGGTTAAACAATGCTGTCTGCATTTCTGTCCTGTTGTGGCATGAGACCAATTTCAAATTCAACTTGAGAAAGAGTTGACTTTAGTTCCACCTCCCACCCCACTGCAAAGCCTGTGAGGGTCTGCTTCCAGCCCGTCAGCTCTCAAGGGTGCCAGTGGGTTTCTGCTCCCACAGTGCACTCCATCACAGTAGTTAATACCAGACTTTCAGTCTCTTAAATCTCACTGTTTCAATCCCTTTAGATTTTCTTTAAGAATTCAGTGACAATGGCACTTGGCATTTGTGGGGCATGTTAAGGTGAGCTGGAACCAAGTCCTCACAGACACTAAGGGACAATGGTCCAGCCAATTACCCATCAACAGTTAAAGCCAGCTTCTGATCCGGTCTGACTGTCATACCCTGGCGCTGGCCCTTTCTCTTTGTGCCCCAAATCCCACTTATTGTAGGAACTTTACTTTCTTCCCTTTGGCTAGGTGCTTTCAAGAATTCCCCATTAGATTACAAATTCCTGGAGGACATGGGCTGCAATTCAAGCATTGGTCTTCATGTTTCCACATTCCCTGTACCACAGCCAAGTACTCAGCAAATGGTGTGCAACTGAACTGAATTACTGGACATTCTCATAGAAGATGTGCAGCTGTGTGAGGACTTTCCTATTTCTAGTTTGATGTATTTTTTTGTGAGTGTATGTGTATATACATGTACATGCATAGGCTACAGGTTAAAATTCTGGTGTCTTCATAAATCACTTCCCACCTTTTTTGTTTATTTTTTTGTTATTATTATTTTTTTTTTTTTGAGACATACTCTCTCACTGAACCTGTAGCATGCAGATTTCACTAGACTAGCAAGCACCAGGGATCATCCTGTCTCTGCCTCCCCAGAATTCCATTATGGGCACAAGCCACACCTGGTCTTAATAACTAAATCCTTAGCTTGCTTTTGCAGCAAACACCTGAGTCATTCCCAGCCCCCCTCCCCCCATGAGTGATAAGTACCATTAACAGAGTTCTGGGCTTTCTGGATGCTTTTCCTGTGCCTATTGTGTTGATGTGGTGATTTCTATTATTAATATGGTGCAATGCTGAACTGATCCTGCAATTCTGGGCAAATCCCACTTGGTCATGTTATATATTGTTTTTGGTGGATGTGGTGGTTTGAAAGAAAATGGTTCCCAAAGGGAGTGGCATTATTAGGAGCTGTGGCCTTGCTGGAGAAGCATATCACAGTGAAGGTGGGCTTTGAGGTCTCATATATGCTCAAGCCACTCCCAGTGGGACAGTTGCTCCTGCTGCCTGCATATCAAGATGTAAAACTCTCAGCTCTCTAGCATGGGCTGTCTGCAGCTGCCATGCTCCCAGCCATGATGATAATGGACTAAATGTCTGTCAGCCTCCACCTCAGTTAAATGTTTTCCTTTGTAAGAGTTAGCATGGCCATTATGTCTCTTCACAGCAATAGAAACCCTAACTAAGACAGAAGTTGTTACCAGGAGTGGGGTATTGCCGTGATAGGCTGGACCACACTTTTGTTTGAAGGAATATGGACTTTGGGATTGAGGATTAGAAAAGCAATGCAGCCAGGTGGTGGCGCACACCTTTAATCCCAGCACTCAGGAGGCAGAGGCAGGCGGATTGCTTTGAGTTTGAGACTAGCCTGGTCTATAAGAGCTAGTTCCAGGACAACCTCCAAAGCCACAGAGGGACCCTGTCTCAAAAAACCAAAAAAGAAAAAGAAAAACAAAACAAAACAAACAAACAAAACCAATGGAATGCTTTAAGTGACCGTTAGGCTATCAGCTCACAGATAATAACAGAGATTTATTAATTATGAAAGCTTGGCCTTAGCTTAGGCTTTCCCCCCAAACCAGCTCTTTAAATTAACCCGTTTCTATTAATCTACATCCTGCCACGTAGCTTGGTTACTTCTCCTCTGTACCATATGTCCAACTTCTTCAGTGTTTTGCTGGTATCTCTAGAATACCTAGATTCACCCCAAGTTCCTCTCTCTGCCAAGAAGTCCCGCCTATTCTCTCCTGCCTAGCTATTGGCCATTTAGCTCTTTATTAAACCAATCACAGTGACACATCTTCACAGTGTAAACAACTATTATGCAACATTTCCCCCTTTTGTCTAAATAAAAAGGAAAGTATTTGACTGTTACACAGTAAAACTACATATAATAAAAACAATTATCAGGTAAGAATTACATTCACAATGCCCAGTCCATTTTGTACTTGGCAATTTCAGAGAAAAAAATCTGTTATCTATCCTATCTTGGTGAATCCAAAGTTTTGTACCAAATTCACTTTCTATCATAATTTGTATTACCAACTTAGAAGTATCTTTTTAGTCCTAAAAACACTTTTGTAGATGAGCAACTTAAACTTTTATGTCTCTCCATCTCAGATATTTTATTTTACATCTCTTTCGTGAGTTTTTTGTTTTGAAGCCTGGTAACAAGGAAATCTGTAACTATATCTAGTCTACATCCCCATCAGAGACCTGAGAAAGATACAATCTTACTTGAGCAAACAGGAGGAGCAGAGCAAACAACTTCCAAGACTATAGAAACAGAGACATCTGACTGTTGGCACAGTCATGCAAGGTTCCTCTGCATTGTTGGGGCATCCATTTTCCACCAAAGGCCTAGACTACCTGACAGACTTTCTGTGAAGCAGGGATTTTGAAGGACTGCCCTACTGTGTCTTGTTACCTTTTGTGTCTTGTGTGTCCAGTCTGGACAGTACACTGTAGCAGTCAAGGCAAGGGCAGTTTCTTGCCCATTAGCTAGCTGTGCCACACTGAAAGGAAATTCCATAGGAGGTTTTTCATGCCCATCCTTTCTTTCTTCCTTTCCTTTTTTTTTTTTTTTTTTTTTTTTTTTTTTTTTTTTGATGTAGATTGGTGCTGCTAGGAGTGGACGGACCAACATAGCTCTGTCATGAAAACATTTGAAATGCCATATTCTGCAGGTCTCTGAAATGTTTGGAGATTGGTGCTTTATGAGCCAGACTAGTAGGAACATGGAAGACAATGTGCTGAGAACTATTTGAAGTGTGTGGGGCTGGCTCAAAATGTTTCAGAGAATTTTAGTTATGTAGCCTAGAGATCGTTCCTGTGATATTTTGAAGAATGTGGCTGCCTTTGCCCTTGTCCAAAAAAATCTGCCTGAGGCTAGAATGAAGAGTTTTGGATTAATTCCCTTGGCAGAGGAAATCTCAAAACAGCCTAGCATAGACTCTGTCATGTGGTTATTAGTGGCGACTCTGATGAAGACTGATAATGAAAAGGAGCAAGCTGAGCAGGGTAAATTACAAAATGTACAATTTGAGGAGAAAAGGAATGTGGAACAGAGCTAAGTCTGTGTTCAGAGGGATAAACAGATTAAGAAATAGAATAAAGGGGGTGGTGCTCTCAGGGCAAAATCCCACCTAGCTAAGTTTCAAACTTGTGAAAAGGAATTTAAGAAAAGTTTAGAGCTGGGTGTGGTGGTGCATGACTTTAATCCCAGCACCTCAGGCCAGCCTGGTCTAGGCAACAAAGGAAATCATCAAAACCAGAAAGCTGGTGACGATGTCATTTAACTAGGAGGCCATGTTCTAGTCCCAGCAAACAGAAGAACTTGGCAGCCTCAGCCATGTAGTTCTGGCTTTAGAGTTAAAGACAGAAGAAAGGGGCTATGGAATTTGCCTCCCTGACGACGGAAAGCTGCTGAGGCCAGGCATGTGTCCAGGGTGTCCCTGAATGGACCTAGAGAGATCATTACATGAAGCTGTGAAGTTGGAAGCCCCACCTTTCATTCAGATCTTCTGAGGGAAAATCCACCTTTAATCTGGGCCACACCTGCTGCTGGCAGCCTATATAAAAACCACGAAGAAGGAAGCTCACCCTTTCCACTTGCTTGCTCGCCCTCGCCCTCTCCCTGGGAAGTCTATTCCTTCACAGGCATTAGAACCTGCTTCTTTGGAATTCTGAAGACCAGATAACACATCAGCCTTGTAGACTGAACAACTACTAGACTCTTGGCCCTTCTGCTGGTAGACAGCCAATGTTGGGCTAGTTGGACCACAGCCTGTAAGCCATTCTAATAAATCCCAAATGTACATGGATACACACACACAAATTCATTCTCTAGGTTCTGTTCTTATAGACTCCCTAGTCTAGAGACCCTAATTATATAAGGTCCCTTAGAGTTACATTAAAAAAATGTGTGTACACGCATGCACATGTATTCTCATGCTCAATTGTGCATTTCATGTGTGGGCTCATTGGTGTGGAGGTCAGAGGTCAATATCCAGTGCTGGTCTTTGCCTATTCTCTTGTTGTTTACCTGGCCACTGAGCTTCCAAGGACTCTCCTGCCATCTTCACTCATATACACTAATAACAGCCACGGAATCAGAACACATCTGAACCCATCACATGATCACAGGGTTTTCTGTATAGTCCAGAGGTAAAGAAATGGACTCTGGAGTCAGCATGCTCAACTGTGCCACCTTCTACCCATGTGGCCCTAGAAGTTACCAACGCATTTCCTGCTTCAGATTCCTTAGCTGGAAGCCAGAACGAAAACAGCAACTATGTCATAGAGCCGCAGTAAGCTAGCTTGCGCATACGCTTGCTCTCTTACATGTACAAACACTCACATGTATGAAAACACATAACACAACTAAGTAATTACCGGTTATTATCAATATTAAGGCTGTACTCACCTACCTGCCCTGGGATGGCCCTTTCCAAATCCACTCCTCTCCCTGCCCATCCCTTCTCCTAACAGAACTCAGTAACATAACCCTGGCCATGTCACATGCTTGGTTACAACTATTTCCACCTACCTCGGTTTCCGGACCAGAGTGACACCACTCAAGGTTTCAGCCTCCGGATTTCCCCCACTCTTTTGCTTTTGACTAGTTAATATTTACGCACTCATTAGACTCCAGGTCTGACGCACTTCCTCCAGGCCTTTTCGGATTCCCCTGCTAATTAATATCACCCTCCATCTTCCTAATATTTGGCACATCTGCTAATCATTTTAAATTAGGTTAAACTCATTTTAGGGGCAAGTGATGGGTGTAACCTGCCTCTGTTACATAGGCCTGACACATATTCATGTTCATCTCTCCCGGGATAATACATGGAATGCATCATTCTTGCCTGTGAGTTTGAGTTTGAATGATTCCAAGGCCACAGTTGGCACAGTGAAACAAATGACTCGCTTCATGTAGTCCTGTGTGCTCTGACCTATTCAGGCAGCAGCTGGACCAGGCTGGCGTGAAGATCAGACTGTGAGGTCGAAGACCCCGCGACGCGTGCGTGTGTCTTCATCTTCGTGCTCCTCGATTCCAGCACGGTCCTTGGTACACCGTAGACACCCAAATGGAGCGTGCTTATTGGATGCCGAGCTCCTGGGACACGGGTGGCTGGAGTCCCTGCCACCTCCTCTTCTCACTACCCCGACTCCCACCCACACCCTCTCCCGCTGCCCATCCCTCATTCTAACCACTGGCACCCGGAAAGCGTCTCCACAACCGGCTCCTAAGCCAAAGCTCACATGCCCGCTTCCCCATCCATAAAGTCGGGAACACCACCACCACCACCACCAAAACTGCAAGGCTACGAGGAGCGAAACACCAGGCGGGCAGGATCGAGTCCAGCCCGGGTGGCCGGCCGGCGGCCCCAGGCCCCACACAGCCACGCGGGGCCGCCCCTCCCGGCCGCCCCGCATCCCCCGCCCCGGCACTCACTGTTCTTGAGGAAGCGCTCCTCGTGCAGCACGGCGATGGCGTTCACGCACAGCAGGGCCGCCTGCAGCAGGGAGTACAGCGTGAAGGCCATGACCACTCCACACACTGCCGAAAGACTCCTTCCCGGACGCCGCCCGGGACGTGGCGCCACCACCGCGCCCTGCTACGGGAGCCCGCGCGGCCCAAACCGCGCTCACCCAGGAGCCCCGCCCCCTCGGGCTGAGCCCCGCCCCGTATTGAGTCCTCTGCGGGGTACCTCATCCCTGGCTTGAGCTACAGGGAGTCTCCAACACTTGATACAGCAGTCATTCTTCACAGACAGGCTGACAAAACGGATGCAGAGTATTGCATAACCTAAAAGCTTTCTTTACCTATTGAAGTGATAGCAATATATTTGAAGTAAGTATTCTTCTAACAATTTTTCTGCCCACTTTTGCTTTTTTGTTTACTGTGGCTGTGAGAACGGAATCACAAGCGAGGCTTGTATTGTGTTTTTTGTATAACGCAGCTGCCCCTCCACGTTCCCAAGGACCTTGTGAAAAGTTTGTGTTCAAATTTTACCCCCGAAGAAATGGAGACTGTCAAAATGTTTAAAATTATAAGCATTATTCACAGTGAAGCATTCAAACTCGATGGAACTTGATCAAAGTCTAGCCAGGATATAAATGCTACAGGATGGGAAAGCAAGAGCTTTTCACCCATGACCACATGGAAAGACTTGAATATAGTAACATTTCTGATAGCTCATGGCTGCAGATTTAGGATGACCCGGCCCTCCTTGACACTCGTGTCCAGTGCTTTGCTGCAGGAACAGAAAATGAACAGTTCATTTTCGATAAAAGTATATGGAACGGAAGCTGGAACAGAGCTGCCCAGAGCAGTGCCTTCCAGCCGCCACGTGAACTGACCGATTCTCTGACTGCCACACATACCAGGTCAATTTCTCTGGGCTTCTGCCGATTTCATTTATAAAATTAGGTGATAATCATCTCTGAAGCCCTTTCCTCCCTAAAAATATAGCAAAAACAGCTTAAAATATCAGCGTATCCACGTTTGGTTCATTCTTCCTCAAAATTTACCCTTTAAGACAACTGCTGCACTGGGCTGCGGTGGCACACACTTTTAATCCCATAACTCGGGAGGTGGAGGCAGGGGATCTATGTGAGTTGGAGGCCAGCCTACTCTACCGAGCATTCAGGGCAGTCAGAGCTACACAGAGAAACCGGGTCTTGAAAAACAAACAACAATGAAACAGACAACTTTTACTTTACTTTCAAAGAAATTCAAAAGCGTAGAAATTGTATTATATATACATATATATTTACAAAGTAGATGTTACAGTTGTTTGCTTATTTGGTGACAGGGTCTCGCTGTCTAGCCCTAGCTCTTGGTGGACATTTCAGAAGGTTTTATGTACTCATGTTAATCACACTATCAGACGTCCCTGCTGGAGGTGAAACTTTTCCAAGTTCAGACATTGATGATTTTTCATCATTTACTTCGGGTGTTTTATCTGTTGGAGTTTTCTCTCTGGACTAAAAGACAACACAGTTGGTTATTGTACAATATCTTACTATAGACTGCCTTTATAATTGCGAATTTGGAGACAGTGTTTTTCTTTGCTCAACAAGAATCAAGGAATTAGGGCCTTCAATAACAAGTTGGCTCCTTCCTGCGAAGGAAAACAATAAGAGTGTGTATGGGGTGGGGCTGCAGAGATTGCTCAGTGGTTAAGAATATTCTTTTCCAGACAGGGTTTCTCTGTATTGCTTTGGAGCCTGTCCTGGAACTATCTCCGTAGACCAGGCTGGCCTCGAACTCACAGACATCCATCTGCCTCTGCCTCCCCAGTGCTGGGACTAAAGGTGTGCGGCACTAATGTCCGGCCCATTGAACTATTCTTGTGGAGGACTACTTTTGGTTCAGACCACACCTAAGACCACTAGCATCTACAACTCCAGTTCCAAAGGATCTAACACTCTCTTCTGGCTGATTCTGGAACTGCATGTATACATTGCACCAATATACATGCAGGCAAAAAACTAACCATACACACAAAATAAAAGTAAACGAATCTTTTAAAAATGAGTATATATGGCTAGGATAATTTTCATATTTGGTCCCAGGATAAATGAAGGCCTTTTGGAAAGAAAGCAAGTTATGGGGTCCAAACTTGGCATTTGAAGGTAAGTTTCAGGACTTACCTGATATATATCTCAGATATATTAGAGATTATCTTATTGAGCCCCCCCTTTCCTTTGTATTGATGTCCTTGATTTAGAATGGCCTATCTTTAACTTGAGGTGTCAGCCATATGACTTGCTTTGGCTAAGAATGAGGATGAAGAGATAATGTGTCTGCTCTGAGCAGAACCTCAAAAGATAGTTAGTCCATGTTTCTTATCTATGCCTCGGTATTGTCAAGAAGAAACAACAGGACCATTTGGAGGAGTGGCACAGAACAGGGCTGTAGACAAGACTTGCTGACATCAACCACTCCTTGTCCAATCACAGAGCCCTGAGAAGGAATGCTGGTTGCTTTTAGTCGCCAAATTTTAGGGTTGCTTATTCCACAACACTTTTAAAGCAGCAGGCTTCTTTTGAATCTACAGATGAGTACTTTATTCTAATGGCCCAGTACATTGATAGCCCCTGCAGCCCCACATTGAAGTCACCCTTCAGAGCTCACTCATCAACTCTTGGCTGATAACCCAGCTGACTAACCCTTGGGTATCCTATCTCTTCACCTTGTTCCAAACAGAAGCAGACTTTTCTCCTGAAACTGACTGCTGTGTCAATCCATTTTAGTGAACAGCAATTCCAGAGCTGAGAGGGAAATTCTGGGATCATTACTGGGTCTCTCTTTTACTTTTACATCCTGTATCCAATCCCAGCAGTCAGTCCTGTTAAACTTTCACTCCAATAAATACTGTGGTTTGAATGTTCTCTCTAAAACTTATGCTGAAATTCAATCAAGATTGTAACACAAGGGGTGTGTGTGTGTGTGTGTGTTATATGTATATGTGATGTGTACACATGAGTTTGCAGGTGCAGACTCCCATGTTTATAGTGCTAAGTCCAGAGGAAGAAGTTGGGTGTCTTTCTATCATTCTTTGCCTTATTCCCTTGATGCAGTCTCTTGCTGAACCTGAAGCTCAGCTAGGCTGGCTGGCCAGCAAGCTCCTGGATCCATCTATCAGCCTCCAGTGCTGAGTTGCAGGCACAGTCAGCCATGCCCAGCCTTTTGCATAGGTGCTGAGGGTTAGAATGTAGGTCCTCATGTTTTCACAGCAAGCTCTCTTGCCTGCTGAGCACATGCCCATCTGTTGTGGAATATCATTTTAATCGGGCAAAGATGCATTACATTTGTTTATGCTGTGGAGTATTTCTTTAACTGTGTAAAGGTGTGTTACATTTATTTCTACTGCCTTCGTTAACTATGTAAAAAACATGTTACATTTGTTTGTGCTGCAACTGTTTGATTATGAAAAGATGTGTCACTGTTTCATCTTGCCTGCCTAAGGCACCTGATTGTTTTAATAAAAAGCTGAATGGCCAATTCTAGATAGAAGAAGGATAGGCAGGGCTGGCAGGGAGAATAAATAGGAGGAGAAGTCCAGGCTCTAGAAGTATGGGAGGAAGAATAAGAGAAGAAAACAAGGGAGGAAGAGAGGGAGACTCCCAGGGCTAGCCGGGCAGCCGCCAGCTGGAGACACAGAGTAGGGCATACAGAAAGAAAGGTAAAAAGCCCTCAGGCAAAACATAGATGAAGAGAAACAGGTTAATTAAAGTTAAAGGGGAGAAAAGGCTAGCCAGAAACCAGAACAAGTTCGAGTATTCATAGCTAGTGTCCCTGTCATGGTTTGGGGAAATTATTGGTGGCCCAAAGGGAAAAATCTTGTCACACCCATTTGCGGTGGTTTGGATGAAAATGGGCATCACGGCCACATTTGAACACCTGGTCCTCAGCTGGTGGAACTGTTTGGGAGGATTAGGAGGCATGGCCTTATCAGAGAAGAAATGTCACTGGAGGTGGCCTTTGAGGTTTTAAAAGCAGACTCTGTTCCCAGTCACCTCTCTCAGGCTGGAGCTTAGAGATCAAATGTAAGCCCTCAGCTGCTGCTTCAGCCCCAGGCCAGAAGCCATCCCGCAGCGTTCCCTGCCATGATGATCGTGCGCTCATCCTCTGACTCATTCTCCATTGAGTGTTTTCTTCTCAAGTTGTCGCAGACATAGAGCTTTGCCGTTGCAATAGAAATGCAACCGAGGCACCGGCACCATAACCCAAGTTTCTAGGGTGAAATTTTAGCCCTGGCAGCTGCAACAAGCTTGGCCTGGCTGCTTGTCCCCTGTATGCCAATTAAAAACACAAGAATAAAGAGCCAGGAAACTTAAGTGGTGGGGAAGAAGTGAGGGGTATTTGGGGACACCGACATGAAGTATCAGTTTAAGTAAAGGACAACAACAACTCAGCAGTCCTACTCAAGATGAAGCCCACCCATCACTGACCTGATGAACTGCTTCCAGCCGGGTGAAATCTCTCTTTGTTTGGCCAGTCCCCTTCAGGCCCACCAGTGCCTCTGTTAGTCTCTTGTTTTAATCCTTTACTGTTTCAGTCACCTGATGTCAAAGGAGGGCGGTGTGTGTCTTCTTAGAGCATATCCTCTCCTTCCAGGGTGGTACAGAGCCATCAAGAAGCAATTATTTCATGAGGATTCGGCTTGTGAGTAGGTTAACACTGTGGATTTTAGAAGCTAGCTGATCATTAAGGGGTGGACCCGTGTCCTTTTGCCTTTCTACCATGGGATGACACAACGCAAATTCCCTCACCAGCTGCTAGCTCTTTAATCTTGGGCTCTCGGGTCCCCAGAGCTGCGAGCCAATATATTTCTGCACAGAGTCTAGAGTATTCTAACTGCTTCCCACCTTCTCATCAACTGAAACCCCGGTCTCGGCTCCCACCCACCGCCTCTTGTGCGTCTCTGTGAGGTGGCCCTCCAAACAAGCTTGGGTGTCCTGGGAACGTCTTCCCTCTCTCAATTCTTTCTTCCTAGAGCAGCACCCTACCTTCTTGTGAAACCAAACAATGAAAACAGGTACTTTGCTGGGAGAGTGAGAGTCGTCCGTCCCATAGAACTTTCCAGAACTTTCCACACTTTTATATCCCC